TTTGAGGTGAATTTCACTTTATGTTTAAGATATGCTCCTGGAAATTGTTCATGAATCAATTTATTATAAACACAATCCTATTTTTAAGGGATCATTATTGCATTTTAATGAAGCAAGAATGCTTTGATGACATATATCAAGCTTCTATAATTTATCTCAACCACTGGCTATGATTCTATCAGAGGATTTTCTTATTAGAAAATGAGATCGTGGTCTGATTTCTTTTGGTTCTTGGCTCTTCCTGTGAGAAATGCTCTGAAGAAGCTGAACATGTTTGTGACAGAGCTGTATTGCCCTTAAGGGACACTTGAAAAGTATCCTACAGAGGCTCCCTTGGGTCTCTTAGGGCAGTAGAGAATCAGCAGGAAGGTCTGAACGTTTCACTAGGGCTGGTCAAGCTCCCTGCCCTCCACTGGTGGATATAGACATGTGGAGCTTATGTTGCTCAAATAATTAAATGAGACTCTTCGTGGTAGGCTAAAAATGGGGGAGATTATCAGGTCTCCGGAGGGTCTGGTGTGATGCTTATCCATGTTTTCACCGTTAGCTGTGTACCCTTGGATGCAGAATTCATTGGTCAGAAGTTTGTATCTCGGTCTTAGAGAATACAGTTACTTCTCTATTTTGAGTTTCTTCCTTATTCAGGTAGTAAACCTGGTTGGTTTATCAATATGACATCTATGCCTAGTCTCTCCATGATTTAGAACTTGCCATTGCTGTTTGCCAATACAAGGATGGTGTGAAGCCTAAATTCTGAGAACAGTTTTTAAGCTCTCCCTTCACTCTGCAGCCTATCCCTTAACAAGCTTTCTCCGAGATCTGCCCTTGAACTAGAGCAAGATACCTCCTCCTGCACCTATACCTGACAGCCTCTCCCGATCCTTATGGCCCAACCAACCCTTGTTATTCTTTAGGCTTTGTCTCAAATAGCAGTTCTCCCTGGAAGCCATTTCTGACTCCCCAAGTTGTTTTTAGGGGCTGAAAATTCCTCACCCTCACCAAGATTACACCATGGTACAGTGGTTTGTTTCCTTGTCTGTAGCTTCCATCAGGCTGTAAACAACTTATGAACACTACTCCACCTGGCTTGCTTATTAAAACGCTAGTGCTGGGCACCAGGAAATACATTCAATGAATGAGTGAATGCACTAATAATAGCAGTCGTGTTTTATTGAATGCCTGCTATGTGATAGGCACCATGCTGGATATATTCTCTCTCTCTGTGTGTGTGTGTGTGTGTGTGTGTGCGCGCGTGTGTGTGTGTGTGTGTAATCTCTAATCCTAAATACAACCATGCAAGGTTAGTCTTGTTATTCTAATTATACAGTTAAGGAAAATCAGGGGTCACAAGCTTAGTAACGTGGCTGGAGTCACTGTTAAATGCATAGCTAGAGTTTGCACCCAGGTCTACCTAGTGCCTTATGCCAGTGTATTCACTGAGCTATATTAATATAAGTTGCCCTTTTCTCTTCTGCCCCACCTCCCAGATAACCACACTGTATTCCCATCAATGTCAAGCCATCTGATCTGGTAGCAGAGGCAAGCAGTATTTCCAATATGCCAGGAAATCAGACTGGATTCTGTCCTCTATTTTCAGGCCTGAATAGTTTGGTCCAACTGTCATAGCTCTTTCTTTGATGCTAATAGCTTGTTTATGCCTGGTCTTTCCCTGATACCTCCTGCAACTGTTGGAGGGGTACTAAACAGGCTCAGGGGTGGAACTGGAGGACGTGAACACTCAGATTTTTTGGTACCCTTTTCAAGGGAGAGGGTACACAGCTTCCATTAGGCTCCTAAAGGAGTCTTCTGGACACATTAGAAAAAGAAGCCTCCTGGGGTGTGTTTCAGTTATTTTTCCATTCTTTTTTGGACGGTAATGCTAGGGTTGCTGAGGCTACCCTCGAGAGCCTAATATGGCAGTCCAGACTCACAGGAGACTGTCTTGGCCTCTGGAAAAACCATTTCAGAGTTTTTCCAAATGTCACATCCTTCATAGATGAAATAGACTGGGGCAGAATCAATACCTAGGCTCTCCCTTGAGTCAACATTCTGAGCTCTATGATTCCTGTGTGTTGTAGAATCATTTAGATAGCAGATGAAGGCTATCGTTACTACCGTTGATTTTAAATACACACATGATTTTGCATGCAGAAGCAGAGGATGGGGTTCTGGAAGCAGAGCCCTGAGGCATGGGAGCCCTTTTTCTGGATGGATTTACAGTGCTTGGCTTCAGTCTCACACTGTTTGGCCTTACGGTATCCTGAATATTCCCCTGGCGATCTCCTGGGAAGGGTTGGTCAATTTATTTATGTCCAGAGTTGACACTTTGTGAACTAATCATTCTTTATTGACCATTTAGGATTGGTCTTTAAAAAGAATTATTCTTATTTTTCCCTTTCTCTAATGGACTAACAATGAGGCCACTGACCCTGAATTTATGGTTCACTTACATGTGCCGTCAATTTGTGAGTTACTTGAGATTTCAAATTGTCTTGAATATTGCTGTGTTTATAGGTGTACAGTAGTTTTAATGTTGCCATTAACTTTATTGCTACTTTTACAATTACTATCTCCCACTAATGTTTCTCCCATTTTGTTATTAAATGCATATGGAAATTAGAAATGAAGAATAAACACAATTATGACTTGTATCTGAGATGAGTGGCGGCGTTATTTCAAAATAGCCACATAGTAATGATTTGCTTGCTTTTTAAATGTATCCCCCTTTCCTTAGAAACTTGCCTAAGGATCAACTTGTCCTCTGTGTTTCATTAACAGAAGGGGAGCACCCACCAGCACATTCTCAGAATGTGGTCCTGCAAGGTTCAGTTTCTCAGATGTGTCGGTTTGGGGATGTATTTGTATGTGGTGATAATGATGATAACAATGACAATGATGGTGAGAACTGACATTTATTGGATGCCTATTGTGGACAGACATGGGCCGTTCTCTTCATACACGATAATTTGTTCAGTCTGCCCTATGGGGTAGTTGTAATTATTGTTCCCATTTTAAAGAAGAAGAAAGTGAGTCTTAGGGTAAGTGGACAACTCAGGGGCACACAGCATATCACTGGTGGTGCACGGGCTTGACCTCAGTTGCTTCTGTTCCAGCACTTGCATTTGTAGCCTCTGTTCTTTTCCTTTTTCTTGTTGCAGCTGTTTAAGGACTTTCCAGGCTATGTGTGCCTGTGACTAGTCACAATATTTCATGATTATGTATTTTTAAAAAATAAAATCTGTTCATTACTTTGGGAATTTTCCCAGCTCATTAGCAAAGGAATGTGATACACAAGTAAAGACGAATTTCTGATATCTCAAAGGCAGAATAGAAGGTTTAGGAACATACTGTGCAAAGGTAACCAATAGATGATCACATCATAACACAGAAACACTCAAGAGAAAATCAGGATAATGTCCATTTTTCTTTATATCTGTTTCCTTAGTGCCGTTAGCCTGTGAAAAACTGTGGACCTGAGTTCTAAGGTTTTACATTAGAAGGAAACGAGAACAGAAGTCACCAATCCAATCCATGCAAATTTTTAATAAACCAACCTTTGCCCAAGAAACCAACTTATCCCATAAAAGTGTGAAGTGAAAGCCTGTGAAATTCTTACTCCAGTGGTGATGGAAACCACAGGAAAGAAAGTATGACTGAAAAGTAACATAAAATGTGAGAGCCTCCAAAGACCTAGACCTCCCTGAGAGATGACCACATAACGCATTTTTGGATGTTTTTAATTATAAGAAAAATCCTAGCTAATAAAGTCATATATCTTAGGGCTCAAGAAAATATCTTGGCACAGACTACAAACATAGGGGATGTATTTTGGAATGCTGGCTTCTATCTAATCGATAAAAGGATTGTTTAGATTAAAATAATTAACACTAGGATTAGATGATGATTTCCCCAAGCAGAATAAAACAGTCAGTTTTTGGAGTGGCAAATCAAATGGATGCCTGGGCCTGGAGCTTGCTGCTTTCCCTGTGGCAAGGGAGTGACTGCAGTAAAAGGGGAAGTGATGTAGACAGGCAAGAACGGACAGTATCTCCTAAGAGTCCTAGGAATCAGCTGCTTCCTGAACTTGGCGCTGAGCTGGTATCCTATAATCCCCCGACCTTTTTTTCAGAGAGGAGGCTGGGTGGGCATAGTTTTTCTGGTCACAAAGCCCTGTTGTTCCCCCAAGGGAGTTCTCTGGCTACCTTGTTAAACTCCTCACCTGGAGATCAGGACAATGTCCTGATTAGAAAATCCGTTTATCCCTTTCAGGGAACCAGTTTTTATGGAATTGTTTTTTTTAAAAAAATTTCTCCAAGGCAGAGAACACTTTTTTTTTCCTGTATTTTTAAAGAAACCAGGGTCTCAGTCTGTCACCCAGGCCTGTCTCAAACTCCTAGCCTCAAGCAATACTTCTGTGCTAGCTTCCTGAATAGCTGGGGTAACAGGTACGAGCTACTACACCGGGCACTAAAGTGCTTTTTTTTTTTTTTTTTTTTGAGATGGAGTTTTGCTCTTGTTACCCAGGCTGGAGTGCAATGGCACAATCTCGGCTCACCGCAACCTCCGCCTCCTGGGTTCAGGCAATTCTCCTGCCTCAGCCTCCTGAGTAGCTTGGATTACAGGCACGCGCCACCATGCCCAGCTAATATTTTGTATTTTTAGTAGAGACGGGGTTTCCATGTTGACCAGGATGGTCTCGATCTCTGGACCTCGTGATCCACCCGCCTCGGCCTCCCAAGTGCTGGGATTACAGGTGTGAGCCACCGCGCCCGGCCCTAAAGTGCACTTTTTAATAAAAGAAAACCTTCCAGGGCCAGGATGTCCTTGGGACTTTGAAAGCCTCCTGAATTCCTCCCGAGTGGGCTGAGAAGACGCCAACGAAGCACAGTGCAGAGACTGCTACCAGCTCACCCTGAGGGTCTGGTAGGCTTCACTCCCATGATCTCCCTTTTTGGTAGCAGCAAAGAAACACATCAAGTGAGGGAAATCAGGCTGATAAATTCTTTACAACAAGGTTTTATTGATTCTTTTCTCTTATCCCCCCAAAAACATTAAAGTTTTTCATCTTTCTTTTATTTTTAATGGTTTTCCTTTTGGATCCAAACGAGCATCTATATTACAGGATATCCGCCTGGTCAACATGCAGTGCTGAACTGTGGCTTTAGGAGAGATGCACCGATACTCTGGGTGGGCCAGCATCAGCTGCCATTCAAACACCGAGACTGCAGGGGTGTCAGGCTGGCACACCACAGTGGATGCTGCCCCTAAGGAGGTGTCTTGTGGGGCATGACTTGCACATTTTAGAATGCAGGTAGCAGCATTTTAACAGCCTGAGGCAGAGCACCCAATTTCCCTCCTGATCTCATCTTACATGCTCATCCTCTAGGAGCAAAACAAAGAGGGAATGGCCTGATCATGGGCCCTGAAGGACAGAGGGTGTGGACCCTAGAGTCCACCTCCTTGCACTGTTGTTATTTGAGGCTAGAACCGGTACACCCTGCAGAGTCTGAAATCTGTTCCTGATGAAGCTCATCACCGTCTCACTCACTGGCCCTTCTCCCCTCCCATGTTGTTCTCACCAGTAGGAAGTTAATATAATCTCTCCATCATTGGTGCTACTATGTTGAAGAGTTGCTGAAGTCATAAAGATTGTCTTCAAGCCGCTTTAAAGCAAGAACCTCTTTCTTTCCATCTCCCAGGTCTGGAAAGAGAATTTTGGGAACCTATCAATCCTCTGAGGCCTTGAAATCCACCACCCTAGGTGAGTTTAACAGAAAGAAGTTCTCTGAATCCCATCTTGTGCTGAGAAGTTTACCCATAACCTAAGTGAAAAAGAGGATCCAAGTTTACACATCTCAAAGTCTGTCCTCTTGTGGGACCTGCTGACGTTTTCTACCTCACTTTGCCTTTGCTCTACAGCTTGTCTTCCTACTCTCTACTCCATTGTCCCAGCTATGAAATGCCAAACACATCTGGTGCATTAGGCTTTTCTCCTCCATTTGTTTTTCTGGGTGAATTCAAATCTTGGACTCAGTTTGAGTGGAGTTGGACTGCCCTCTAATATCACCAAGAGGCAAGTTCCTCTGCAATTACAGCACTTAGGGTGACTTTGTATAAATTTGGACTTGTTCACAAAACACCAGGATAGAAAAACAGTGACTAAAGGTCAGCCTGCAGGCTAAGTATCTATCCCAATTGGTAGCCATTAAAACGTAATACCTATGTTCTTACTAACTCCCCTGGGATCTGCTTAACATTGTACAACTCCATATCAAATGTAACTAAGACGACAACTACGGTCCACCTTAACTGGTAGTTATAGCGTTTAGCCCTCAGTTCATGTTACCTTTATTTTTAAAAATTGAGAATGGCACTTTAGAATTTTGGAGTGTGTTTTTCCTGCTCGTCCCTTATAAAATGTTTAACAGATTTGCTTTAAAGTGGTAGCTCCTGTGCCATACAGGGCATTGCTGTTAAAACAGTCAGAATGCTGGAAAGAAAACTATTGGGTCATCAAGTAAGTCAAATTCAGATTTGGCGTATTTGAATGGTTTCCTTTTCATTTTGAGGGCCATCCTTTGAGTGGACTAAAGAGGAAGCGGCACAACCTGGTGTGAATTCTAGGATCTGGTTGTAGAGTGTAGACAGCACTCCATTCTTATCTCTGACAAACTTGTAGGAGAAAAAGAGAAAGAAAAGCTTCATTCAGCTCTCCAGTGCTGGGTTGGAGAATATATCTGGGAGATGATCCTAAGTGTTGGCTTGTGGTTATTTGATCTATGACTGGGTTAAATTTGCACAAAGTGAAGGTGACACAAGGAAACTTAGACCATGAAAATTCAACTTCTTGGATTGAAAAAAAGTATAGATTCTTTTTAAATTAGAGATAACGTATAATAAGGGAACATGGGAAGAATAGAGTGAAATTAAAGCAAATCCTCAGTTCAGGTTCCATTAGACAGGAAGTTTCTTTTTAAAAAAATTAAATGCTTGTAGCAATGCTGAGATTTTCACAGGTACTTCATGGAATCTAATGAGTGAAGGTTTTCCTAAATTGATTTGTGTAGACTTCGTGCTTTAAATTATGCATTATTAACAGACACTTCACACCACGAGTCAGCTGAACATTCATATTCCAGTTGAATGAAAGGACGTGAAAGAAAGTGAAGTGTTGCTTACTGAAGGCATGAGTCTGAGTACAGAAAGCTGGAATATCATTTTTGACTTCCGATAGTTTTCATTGATCAGATTACTACATAAAAATTACTTTCTTATCAAGACATAAATTTTGTATTGGTTCAAGATGTCCTGGAAAAATTCTGCATCTCCTTGGCTCTCACTGAAGTTTTAGGGCAGTTTTTCATTAATCTGTGTTATATTAAGTCCTTAGGAAAAGACAGAGTCCAACTTAGAAGGAGAAAGACGACAAAAAGGAGGCCAGAGAGGAAAGACAAATGGTACTGTAGCCTCAGATTTTTGACTCAATTATCAGATCACTAAATTCAATGGCAATTACTTGCTAAAGAGAAACAGATTCAAAAACATTGTCCAGGATAGGTCTGTTACAAAAAACCCAGCCACACCAACCAAACAAAAAAACCCCAAACAAATAAATATAAACATATGTCCCCACACATCTTTCGACCTGGTCTACTCCACTGTTTCATACCTCCAAAACTAAAAACGCAAACCTCAGTAATGTATTTACAGGGAGCATGGATGATTATAAAATCTCCTTTTGCATTTAGAAGGTCAAGATACTAACTCCCCTACTTACAGCATGGGGAGAGAGGGTGGGTAGAAGGAAGCAAAACTACAAAAATAGAAGGGCAGTTTCTGAGTGCCCCAGCCTCAACAGCCATTGATCACACTTTGCTGTGAGCCCCGTTCATACGTCTCAGCTGTCTTGCGTTTTGTTCAGAGAAGCTTTTAGGCCCTTTGGGTAGGTTGGGACAATCTATGAATTTGTTCTCTTTGGCTTGGCGTGACCTCTCTGGAATGCATAAACCTCAGAAGGTTAAAGCAGAAAGGATTTAAGGAAAGAAAAAGATGGCCCCTGGAAAGCAAAGAGAGTTCTTTCTGCTCTTCCTCCTTTGTCCCTTAAAGTGCTATATCTGTGTACTCTGGGTGGGCTGTAGCACCTGACAGCTGACACAACACAGCTCTGCAGCCGAGCCCTCCCTCCACACACAGCAGAGAAGCCATCAGCTGCTGCTCTATTTGTGGTAGACCTGGCTGTGATGTACAGGGTGGTTCGGGGAAGAAACAACAAAAGACAAGAAGGCAAAGCTGCTGCTCCAGGCAGTGCTTATTTATGTGGGATCTCTTCCACCACCTTCACACAAAGGTTAAGAAGTCATAAGCCCTGAGTTAATTTTGTTTCGATTTTTTTAAATGAAAGTCTCAGTGTGAAAATATTTTAAAGAAAAATTATTCGAACCTGAACCTGATTCTATAGAGACTCTTTCTGGAGTCAAACCATCATGCCCTTTCTGGCCACTTGCAAGGGACCTACATCTTCCTTCTTTCCAGTGTCATAAGGTCCTCTCCTGCACCTCCTGGACAGTGCCCATTGCTCTGGGATCTGTGAGGGAAGGACTTGCAAGCTGGGTGACAGAGCTAGAGGGGAAGAGTTCACCCCAAGGCATGCAAATGCCTCTCACCAGGATTCTTGGCCACACTAGCCCTAGGTCTCTGAGGGTCTCAAAACATAACAGACATGAAACGAATGAACAAAAATAGCAGTAAAAATTCCTTAACCTTCAAGTCTCAAAATCCCTGAAAGGTAGCTGTCTGCTCCCCTTCTGCTAGACGTTTGCCCTTTCTTTGCATACAACCTCGTAATATTTATATCTTATAAGTGAGCTATCAATCTCTCAACCTGTCCTTGGCCCCACCCACTGAAGAAACACTCTGTCCAAGAATGAAACATCCAGAAGGCTTGAGAAATAGGATGTAATGAAAAATTTTTAAAAATCAAAATTGATATTTTTGTTCCATTATGCCAGGAGAGACCTCCTTGCCCTGGAGTGAGCTTTCATCCAGAGTGGGCCTTGTGTCCACCCCGACACCCTACGTCTTGTTTCAGTCATCTTGCGAAGAGCACCAGGTAAGTTCCAAACCTTATTTCATTAGAACGCAACATTCCGCAATAGCCGAGAGTGGTAGAGTCAGTCAGGCAAGCAAGTAAGCTTGGGTTGCGTAGAATTAACCATCTCAGGAGTTGGATCAGTGCTAACGTGCAGCAAAACAGAGGCTGGGATGGGAGAACAGAGGTAAGAAGACCCTCATGCTCACCGCATAGGCTCTATGGGGGTGGCAGGAGTCTGTGCAGGGAAGGGACATACTGGCTGAGAGGCGGATTATGGGGTCTTCTCTTTGTGGCCCCCAAGTCAAAATCTAGAACATCTGGAGTTCAGTTTCTGGGCAATGGTCTTGGTGATCTCAGTGCCCTACAGAGACGCTAAGTAGGGACTACAAGTGAAGCCCAGAATAAGAAAAGGTTCTTTAGCTAGAAGAGCAGCACAGACCCCCACGGATAATTGTGTTCATGACTCAGGTGGAGCCAATGGGATGCTAGAGGGGGTGAGCCCTTCACGGGGCCAGAAATTCTATGCTGACCCTGGCTCAGGGGCACCTTGGCTGGAGCCCTACCCCTGTCCAATGGTCACTGGCACTCTGTCCTCTAGGAGATGGGGAGCCAGAGAAAGAGACAGACATGCATTCCCTACCTGCAGTCTGTCTGGAGCCTCAGGTGAAAAGAGGAGCATCTAAATGCAAACCTATTTCGAACATCCCTCTGCCTTGGTTTTCTTTCCTCCTCCTCCTACCTTCCTCTTGTCTTCACTCTTTGAGGAGAGGGTGAATACATCATTAGCGAGAGAAACTAAACATATGACTCGAGTCTTCTGAGGGGACCGCCAGTGCCCAAATTTGATCTTGTGGTAACGCTGGTTGTAGTCTTTTTTTGCATGGAGCTTCTCAAGATACTGCTGTGATTTTTAACCAGAGAAAAGAATAGGTTTTGGGGTCTAGAGAGCCTCTTTTCAAGGGAAAGAGAAGAGGCAGATTCTGACTCTAGCAAGGGAAAGCTGGCATTCGCTTTGTTCAGAGGCAGCAGAAAAGCAAACGAGATGATGAAAATGAGTTTGTGACTCAACAGAAAATTATTTTATTTTCTGGTCTTAATAGAAGAGTAAGTGCAGGGTAAGGGGAAAGAAACCCAATTTCTTGGTCAAGGGAAGGTGCATAAAAGAAATCCACTGGCAAAAGAAAAAGCAGGTGGTCAGTCAGGTGACCGCATCTGCAGTGCTTTCCAACACTTTATTGAGGACTCAAATACTTGTGTGTATGAGTTCAAGGAGTTCAGGAAGGTTTCCTGGCACAGTAAATTTAGTGTTTATACTATTTGCAGGCAAATTCCATTTCTGGGAACTGCTCTGCCAGCCTACATTTCTCCTACTGTTGAAATGGCACAAGGTACACACTACACTTCCCTTTCTCAAAACACCATGCGATAGACTCACGGGCTCAGAATGGTCAGTCCTGTTGTAGGCCTTCCCCTAGGGAAAGGTGCATTTCCAAGGTGGGAAAAGCAATTCTGTGCACACAAAGCAGCCCATAGCAGCACTTTGGCATGAAATGACGCTGAGCAGAGGAAACTTGAAAAACAATACAAGGCCCAGCGTCGGTGTTAGGTAAGGATCACACCTATTAGGATCAGGGTGTCGTATGTCGCATTCCCAGCCACCCTCAAGCACGCAGGTGCTAAGTAGGAGAGGAAAATGAAGATGAAAGAGGGTTTGAGGGTGGGAGAGCTTGGTCTCTGCCTCCTTGGCCTCCTGTGTTGGGACAGCTTTGGTTTGGGGACGGACTGTGGGTCATGAAGCTCCATCAATTTTGTAAGAGAAGGCAGGGCCATGACAAATTTTCCAGCCATGTGGTTGAATTTGGCTTTTCAGGGTTGATGCAGCTATGCCTTATTTATATTTCAATTAAAAAATAGGGAAAAATAGGCTCCTTACAAGAAAAATAACAGCTCTGGATTGCTCCTGCCCGACAGGAGGATTGTGTCTGGGCTGGAGGGGTGTTTATCCACTGAGTGCTCAGTGCAGGGGTCCTCAGGATCCTGGGTGGGAGGCTCCAACTGTCCTGGTGGGGAAAGGAGGGCCCTGTCGGGCACCCGTTCACCTGCTGTGATGGCACTAACAAAGGACTTAAGGGGAAGGTACATTTCCACCACTTAAAGCCAGTGATATATGGCATATAGCTCCATTGGAGGGGACATGCCACAAGAGCACTGGCTTGGCAAGAAAGGGCTCTCTTGCTCAGTGCTTCTGCGTTTGGGCAGTTAGGAATGACAGGGTGGGACTGTCTGCTCCAGCTCTTACTCTGGGGAGGGGTGAAGTCCCTTTTTGGCTCAGGGGAATATTCAAGGTGACCAGGGCCCCAGTCTTGTCCTACTGCGTGATGAGGCCCCACTGGAGCAGCAGCCCAGGTCTAAGCTGAGGTATATTTACTAATCACCTTAAAGCATCCTGACGAAATGACCTGAACCCCACACCAGCTGCAGAAGTTTCGGTCCCAATGGTCCCTCCTCAAGGGAGGTCCTCAGTAATTCCAGAATTTCACAGAAGCTTATTTCAGTCTATCAGCCTTTCCCATCTTTACAGAAGTCCCCACCCAGTGGTGGATAGCCTACTTGGATATGTGTGTTCTCCCCTCTCGGGGGAGTGGCAGGAAAGGCTAGACCTTTTCACTTGGCCTTACAGCACTGGCCTTGCTGCCTCATGGACCAGAGCGGGCTGATGTTCAGCCACGATGTGCTGGTGTGGCTGTAGCACAGTTACACATATTTGATTGCTTCTATACTGGTTGGAAAACAGACTCTGTTTTGAGTCCCTTAGGTGGCCCCTGCTACTCTACCCCCACCCCAGGGTTCCCTGCTGACCAGCATGGGATCCAGCGCTAGGACCAAACTCTACTTCCACTGATGCCAGAGCGGTTGTTCAATACTTTTACCTTCACCCTTACCAGAGCCTCAGGCACCTTGTGGACCCTGGGGGACTTCCTGACCTGTCCTGATACTCAGCCCTTGCTGTGTGGGTGACAGGCCTCAGGATGGGGCTACACCGCCCGCGCCACCCGTTCTGTTTCTCTGACCGTCTCCCTCACGGTAGGGGCTGCCAGGCTATGGCTTTTCTCACCCAGACCAGCCCTTGCTGCTGTTGCCTCAGCACCCTGACCCTTTTCGCTTCGGCTTTCTCCTCCCTCCCTGGCATCCGTTGTTCCTGACTTAGCCTGTGCCGCCCTGGCAGAAGCAAGCCACAGGGTAATGCATGAGATGCTGCTGCCATTGCCCCGGTGGCAGTGGTACTGGGTGAGGCGTAAGAGCTGGTGAGGGAGGAGAGCCCTCTCCTATGGTCTCCACTACTCCCCACTTAAGAGCCAGAAAGTCTTCCGGGCTTCTCAGGGCACTGAGTGTAGACGTAGGCCAGCTAGATCCCTCCACGGCTTTTAGAAGAGTGGGAAGGGGCAAAGGGAAGCAAAGCCATCCTCCTGTCTTTCCCCCACAGGAATAACCCTCCACATTCCTGTGTTTTCTTTCCCCAGCAAAGAGGCAGAACTATGGCAGTGCCCATCTTGCAAAGGGGAACAAAGCAAGTTGGTGGGTTTGACTGGTGTTCCGATTGTTCTTTACTTCCTCTTCTCTGATAATGTATGGTGTCCTTCCATCTTCCTTTTCCCTCTTCCTCCCCCCCGGGCTGCACTGGCTTCCCAATTCTGTCTTGGTTTCCTCCATGTGACAGAAGAGCATGCATCGGAGGGGGGAGCAGCCTCTAGCATTTGTCGTCTTCTTCCGTGTCACTCAGCAGGTTGTTGACAGCCCCACACATCATGCCTGACCCAGGCCCCCCGCGCCTCCGCCGCCGATAGTGCCCGTTGGGCATCTGCCAGCTGTGCCGCAGGGGTGGGGCAGAGCCGATGGTGTTGGAACGGCCCAGGCTAGTAGCCACAGCTGCTTCGAAAGTGAGCGTCTCCTCCTCGCCACAGTCTGAAGCGTGGGAGTCTTCATGCTGGGCCAAGTAGGGCTCAGAGATGTAGCGCTGTGGGGAGATGTGTTGGCCCTGCTGGGGGTGCGGGGAGTTAGAAGACTCGGTCAGGCAAGCGTTGTTGCTCTCCAGGGCTTGGGAGGTCAGCGGGGAGCCCTCCTGGCTTCCATCAGCAGGCGGAGAGATGCTGCCCGCATGTCGAATCAGGGAGCTGTAGGAAAGGAGGGGCCGGGGCTTTGGTGGGACGGGCGGGAGCTGCCTGCGACTTCTTCTTGGAGTGCTGGTGTCAGAGACAGAGGGGATGGAGCTCTCACTTAGGGAACCTGTGCCCTGTAAAGTGGGAGAGATGTGGCATGTTAGACTGGGCTTGGCATGATCCCTGTTAAGGTCCCTACCTCCTTCTAGAGAGTGCTTGGAGTCCGAATTCTGGGGGAGAGAGGCCTGAGCTGGAGCTCCCTGTAGTACTCACATCCACTCAGAGACACGGGGATTGACGCGATTAAGGAGTCAAGAGCATTTAGATCAGGACATGCCAGACTTTAATGTGCACACGAACCTCTGGGGATCTGGTTAAACTGCAGATGCAGGCTCAGAGGATCTGGGGTGAGGCCTGAGATTCTGCATTTCTATCCAGCTCCCAGGTGATGCTAGGAGTGGCAGGCCTGTGGAGCACACACCTGGAATACTAAGGAAGCTCTGCATGTGTAACAAAGGGCACGCTGAAAGACAACTCCGTGGAAGGTGGGGAGATGCTCTGGAGTTGCTCAGTCTGGGAAAGCCTTATTCCTACCCATCTCTTCAGTGGCTTGCTGAACTCAGCTTCTGGCTCAGGCCATCCTTGCCCTCACCTATTCCCAAGGGAAACTGAGCCCAGGTTTCAGGAGGTAGACCTCCAGGAGAACATTTCTTAAGGTATGTGTGACCTATGAACCTCCTGCTCAGAATCCTAAGGATGGGTCTTTTCAAAGGTGGACTTCTGGGTCTCACCAGAATCCTTCATGCCCCAGGAATGCGCAGTCCTAGTAGGTAATTCTGTTCTGAACTAAAATGTGAAAACTGCTGTTCAAGAAGGGAAACCTCTCAACTGCTGTGTCGCTAAAGGTCTGCATTAGCAGCCCTGCCTTTTCCCCACTGACCATATTTCTGTTGCGGGGGTCTCCTCTTATGAGCCAAAGTGCCATGAATAGACAGAGGGCTGTAGTGAAGAGTAACACAGAGTGGAAGAATGTTTTCACACAGCTCCACTAGTTACACCTTAGGCACCAGGCTGGTGGTTCAGCAAAAGGCGCAGTCTTGCTGGGGCTGCTAGAAGCTAGGTAAGTGAGGGTAAACCGCTCCGACTTATGAATCCCGGGCCAAGGGCTGAATCACCATCTCACAAGATGATCAAAGGAATATTTCTGGCTGAGACATCTGTCAACCTATTTCTATCTCTGGATTCTGAAGGCTGGAATGGAATGACCTCTAGACACCATCTTTCTTGGCGGGGGTGTGGTGGGGGAAATCTGGTTTCCTGTGATTTCAGATAATCTCTGAGTACACAAGCATTGAGCAGCTAACCTCTATGTAATATAGGTATAGTTTCCTGTGAAACTCCAGTCTCTGTGGGTGCTTGAATGTTGTTGCTAAATGCCCACGATTTGCACCTAATGATACAGCCCACTCTTCCCTGTCCTCCTGCTTTAGGCCGGCTTCCTCCCTATGCTCACCTGTTGGTTGGGCGTCTGTGACCTGCCCTCACTGGGTGACCTGGATTGACGGCGCTCTGGGGACTCCCAGTCAGCCTGGGTCCCTCGCTCCTCTGAATTGCAGCGGGAGACATCAGGAGAAAGAAGATGCTTTCGCTCTTTTGATCGTCCCCTCTCCCTGCCCCCTGAGCGGTGAGTGTCAGACTTATGGCCTGTAAAAGGTGACAAAAGCACTTGGTTATAACTCTGACCATGACGATAAAGAGACTTCTGTCTCGGCATCACATCACAGCCTAGAGTTGGACCCTCAGAGGGACCACATGTTTGTGGCCCCTCCAAATTCAAATCTCGAAACCTAACTGGTTCCTGATGGGATGGTGTTGGGAGGTGATTAGGTCATGAGGGTGGGGCCCCCCTTGGTGAGATTAGTGCCCTGATGAGATCGGAACGTGCTTGCTTCCGTTCTCTCTGCTCTCCATCATGTGAGAACAGAAAGAAGGCAGGATCTGCTGGCACCTTGGTGTTGGATTTGCCAGCCTCCAGAACCGTGACAAACGTGTTGTTTAAGCCACCCAGTCTGTGGTAATTTGTTGTAGCAGCCTGAACTAAGGCCCCTAAAAGAATCCTGGCTTCTCCAAGCATGTCAAAAGATGATCTGAAAGGGAAGCAAGAGGGAAAGGCAGGCTGGAAAAGTACTTATTTTGTGAGCAGGTAAGTTTGCAAGGTACCACTAGAGACACATATGTCAAAGAATCCAATCTATTCTGCTTCTATTTATGCTACACACAATATGGAATCTTGGTCAACAATAGGGCTCAGGAATTCTCTATATCATAAACATGGCTGTGTAACTTTTGGGTGGGAAGGTGGCATCAGCAGAAGGAAATTAAGAAGTTTCTATGAAATAACCTACTTAACATAATGCCAGGCAGAAGCCCGGGATTGAAATCAAAGGATCCCAGTTCCAATCCCAATTTTGCCACCTAATGGCCCTACGACATGGGACAAGTCACTGCTGCTTTTTCAACTTTGATTCCTTTATCCAGTGAAATAAAATGGTTAAACCAGACCAACAACAAATGCTTAAATGATACTCAAACACAGGAAATAATTCCAAGTAGCACTGTTTGGGCTGCAGTGGAACTGGTGGTTAAAGCTCCGTCCTCACAGTGGGACTCTAATAAAAAGCCCCAATGGTTCTGCAGGGGACTATTTGAAAACCTCTCTCAATTCTAATGATTTGTATAACCCTGCTCCAGAAGGCAGGGATTGCACCAGCCTTTATGGTGAACACCGAGGAGAGCTTGGGCCTGTCTCATGATGTAAGTCACATATAGGAATTCCCCTGGGTAAGGAGAATCCTTCACTTTCTTCTACCCTTGTCTCTGAATTCTTTTCTGGTTATTTACAGTTCTTCCATCAGGGCAGAAACTCATGGCCTGATTAAAGAGCTAGACACTGAAGACCTCCTCACCTGAATCAGAGTTCAGGCGGTGGGCTGACAGCCGCAGGGAGGAGTGGTAACTCCGGCGACGGGACTTGTAGGTATTTTCACTGCTTCGCTCCATGGAGAATTCCTCCAACCACGAGGAATTTGAACGCTTATCCCGAATAGTGGAAAAGGAACGTCTCATGGAGCTAGGGTCTGTCACCACCTGGAAATGGAAGCCCCCAGAGAAACACAAGGTATGAATTAATGATTGAAAAAATCTAAAAGCACAGAAGCAGCAGGACCGAGACTTTGAGGATAGGAAATTGTAACCCCTGCAAATGGTAACGTCCCTTGAATCTCTCTTGCTCAGACCTTAGCTGGAAGGAACTGTTCAAGAAAGTATCCTAACTGGAAACGGTCCGGGATCTTTTCTTCCTGTAGCTGAGTGCACCACGGCAAAAGCCAAGCAGACGAGCAGGCAGGCACTGTGCAAGCTCCCACAGGGCACAGTCAGGCTGCGGCAAATACTGTGCTGCTTTGAAACATGCGAGGGCAACTCTCTAAAAGGCTACCCCACGAAAGAAGCGTGGCTCTGTTGTTTTTTTTTAATGCCCTGCGGCACTAGAGCCTAGGAGAGCTTGCGATTTAACTGCTAAGAATGTATCACTCTCCCTCTGCCATCAATCCACCTAGCCCCGTTTTAAATTCTGGCATTTTGATTTGCCACAGATCCTAAAACAAATCCACAAAAACTTCTTGTCTCTGTCAAAACCTGATGTAAGACAGACAGACAGGAAAAAGCACAAAGAAATGAGGCGTGGCCTGCACTGGTTAGGACAGACAGTCCTGACACGGACCTGTGTGTGTAAGGAACTGCGTAAGTGCTGGAGGAGTCAGAAAACGAAAAAAGGATGGGAAAGTACACAGAGAAAATCCTGGAAGATGAATCTTGAGAATGTTTAGCCCATCCAGAGAGAGGTATGCAATTTTGTTGACTGGGCTGTTGTGGTTAGGGGGTCACTGAAAACACGGGAGGAGCAGGCTCTATTAGAGAAGGCCCATGAGCCAGGTTTTATTTAGAGAGAAGGGGTGTGGGCAAGTCAAGGGCTCACCTGCAAATATCGGATATTATTCTATAACCCACCTAATACAGCCCAGATGCCACTGCATGAAGGTAGGTGGTTGCTTTTTACCTGGGGATCCACAGTCAGACGTGGCATAGAAGACGCCCTCCCAGATCCCGCATGCTCCTGGGTGTCCGAAGGAAGGTAGATGCCATGGTTAGCGGGCTGCACGCTTTTAAATTCACTAACCTCTGGCTCCTGGAAATAAACACACAGCCGTGCTCGTGGGACTTGGTTCCATCTCATTGCATCTCATGTCCAGCGGACAATTCAGCCGCCTCAAGAATGGCTCTCAAAAGAGAGACTTGCAGCTTTAAGGCCTCAGTTGCATGTATGTGTTTTTGTGTGCACATATGTGCTATATGTCCCAGACAGGAAGCTCTAGCTGGGTAACCACGTTGCAAAAGGTAAATAAAATTTAGTAAAATTTAATTTAGCTGAATATATCAAAATATTAGCATGTCAACATGTAATCGATATAAAAATTAATCAGATAGTTTATATTTTGTTCGGACTACCCACATGTGGCTAACGGCTATTGTTTTGGATTGAGCCAGCCCAGAGTGTTATTAGGTTGGACTGGAAATCTCTAAGGTTCTGTCATTCTTGTTAAAGATTGTTTGTTAGCTGTGCAAGCTCTATACAGATAGCTGGTATCATTGCATAAAGGGCTGTATGGGAGATGGTTACATGGGCTACCCAACAAAGAGGGCTAAGAACATCTTGGGCAGATGGAGATCATACCAGAAAAAGCTATTGTATATTTAGCAAATGACACCCTAAAAACATGTAGGGCATCGCCCAAATGAACGAGTATCCGGGACCCCCCTCCTTAGCCTCTCTGACCATTTGGCTGAGTGGTTTCTTGTGTGTATGCGAGTGGTACTTTCCCAAGTGCTATGTGCACTTACGGGACTTATAGTGTTTGTAGTACATGTTTATACAGCACACAGTTCTGACTCCAAACAGACGCGGTAACAACACTGCAGTCTACAGGTATCAGAGGCGGTGTAAGACACACACTCTGTATGCACAGACACAATCACGGCCACGCCTTGGGACGTGGAGCAGGGGCCCCGAGGGACGGGCAGAAGTACACACAGTGGTAAGTGTGTAGCACAGGCTGACACCAGTACTGACAATGAGATGAACACATATCCAAAAAGTCCTGGCCCTACGGCTCAGCCCCGGGGAACCCGCAGAAATGATGTCATAGTGTCTCCCTGTGAAAGAAAGGACACATTATTGCGATGTTTTTCCCCACTAGACACATCACCAGGCAGACAAAAACCTGTGAGGCCCTTTTAAGAATCAAACTATCTATACCAATTAGCCCTAGGTCGTGGCGCTAAGTTCCTCACAGAGAATGGCAGGGAATGACTCCAGGAGTTCCTACCCACCTCATCAAGAACACCCTCAGGCAGTCAGTCGCTCAGCCCCAGGGGTGTGTGGACTAGCTGTCTTCCCCAAACCACCATGCAGGATTCTCTGTCTCAGCATTTGCCGGAGGTACAATCACACATTCGTTTGAGCTACTGAGTGTGTTTTGCCCTCTGAGGGGGTACCCATTCCCTCATACATCATTATTCATTCACGATGGCTCTGAGGTACATAGCAGTGGGGAGGGAAGAGCCACCGATGAATCAGAATTTAAATGATACAGAACTCCCTTAGTCCAAGCTGTCTGTACAGACTTTTGTAATGCTAAGCTGAGGTTGGAGTGGGGGACCTTGAGCTAATGACTCCCGAACCAGCAACACTGGTAAAGTCAATGATGTTTAGGAACCATATTTTAGCTTTGTATTAGCTAAGTCAAAACTTCAATCTCCCTCTTGGCTCCAAGCTTGACTCACTAGGTCTCTCAGGAATTTCACCATTTATGCTAATAAACTTATTTTGGGGTCAGGAAAGTGACTTTAGTGGCATTATGACCAAAAGGGACAATGTGCCTGAACCCACACAGAGCAGAGGTGACAGTCTTGTACTTCCTGGAAGACAGCTCATCGCTGTGGCATATGCCGCCACTGGGCTCTAGAAGAGGTGGGCATCACTAAGGAACGGCATGGGCAGTTGGGTGTCCCACAAGCAGTACTAGCTACACTAAGAGGCATCGTTAGTATCAATCATTCTTTGGTGAGGCATCTTCAAGATCCCCATCAAAGGCGAGATTTTATATGTGACTTTAGGTCTTAAGTTCCTGCTGCAGGGAAGGGACCTCTTGGACTGTAAAACTGGAAGAGCGAACATTTTCAGACCACACAAGAAACTGGGCTAGAAAAGGGCTGAGGCAAGACACCCCCAGGGCAGTTGGCTGGACTACCAGAAAGGATATTCCTGAGGGATCATGACTATAGCAAAAGTTACTGAGAGGGATCAGGAAACCAAGGAAGGATTTTCGAGGTCGTATAACTCATGTATTCACCAGAGACTGCTGTTCCTGGAACTGTCCATCATCGGCAGGGTCCATACAAGCCAACTGGAATATCTCCTGGGGAGAAAGTGGACTCATCGAAGGATATCCAGTCCTGCCACTCCTGAAAAGCAATGTCCAATCCAGAGGTAATGAGGGACAGTCATGTCATGGCTGCCACTAGCAATTCCCACCCCAGCAGAGCAATGCCCATTAGGCTTGACTGGCTTTTGTAAGTCTCTTAACTTAAAGCACTGGAAAAGACAGACTGGTGTTTTCGACCTGCATCCTGCCTTTGGAACCATTATTCTGCTGGGGATTACTGTATCTGCAACAAATGACATCATTTGTCACGCGCAGCCATATGGAAGACCAACGCTAGATTGTAAACCTGTTTCTGCTCAGTTTCCCCATTTGGCAGAAAAAATACAGTAGTTTACACAGTGAAAAGTTTGTTTCAATATTAAGCAGCCATGGTCTTTTAAAAAAATTTTCCTATTCACAGTAAGAATATGGTCTTATTTTGCCAATATCGCTGGCCAAACTAAACAATTCAGTCCAATTCCATTACCATTTATTGAAGGACTACTCTGTACCATACACTAAGTAGGATTTCAGATGTGGTGGTGAAAAAAGAGGACAGGGACAAAGTCCGCCCGGGGTTTAGAGGTCTCCAAGTGAAAAGAAGGGAGAACTGGCACAGTAGGGTTGTTAATAAACCACTGTCTAGTACTTCCAGACACTCTTAACCTAATGGGATCCATTGGACTGGGTAGGAGAGCAAGAGGCAGCCAAGCTTTCTGGAGAATGTGGTGCCTGTTGCCAAATTATTGGCTGACTGCCACCAGTAATGGCAATAGCCACCATCTGACCTGCTCCAGAATACAGAGTGAGCTTCCAGGTTATGGGACTGGGGTCAGTGGCTCTCTCGGTGGTGGAGCTAGGAGGGAAGAGATGGGCTACCATCTCTTTTAAGTCTATTGCTAATGACTCTGCATCCAATGGAAAACTCAGGGCATGAGCAAGGATTGTCAATTACTTAAAAACAATCCATAGATATGGTTTTTAGATTAAAGGGGAAGATCTGAATAGCAGAGAATCACCTAATCTGTCCCCTTCTGACAGTGAGAGCTTTTGCTGAGTTTTCACAGTATTTAAATGACGTTCCTAAATGTCTGTCATCTTTCTCACTGTGACGTTGCCTGGGAACAACATGAGCACAGTTAGTATAAGAATGGGTTCTCAGCTCTGCTCTACGGCCACACCTGTACTCTCGGCACTTAGGGAGGCCGAAGTGGGAGGATAGCTTGAGCTCAGGAGTTTGAGACCAACCTGGGCAACAGAGTGAGATCATGTCTCAGAAAGAAAGAAATGGGGTCCTTTTTGTCCTACAGAGAGTAGTTATAGACTCCTTAATAGAGGGAGAGGACCCTTGGAAACACCTGAATAAGTGGAACCCAGAGTAATCCACTTTGAAAACCTTGTCAAGCTGGGGGATACAGTCCAGAATTCTGAACAGCCTCCCTCACGATCCCCACCTCACTAGCCTCCTTTTGTGCCACTTTCCCATTTGCTCCCTGCATTCCAGACACGCCAGCCATTTTTAGTTCATGGGATACGCTAGGCTTGTTTCTGCCTCAAGATTTTAATAGAGGCTACTCCAAGGGTGTAGAACACTTATCTCCAACTCCCTGTAAATTCTTGCCAGCACTTATCAGAACTGTAACTAAATAACTAAAAATGCAACTTTTCTTCTAATAATCCTCTGTTTAAGGTCTGGTTTTCCATCAGATTTGAGGGAATGACTATCTGTTATGTCCACCACTGTACCCCCAAATCAGCCTCTACTGAGCAATGCATGGCTCCAGAAACACAGATGGTTCTGAGGAACCAGCCTGCTGTTCCCCCCATGTCCCATTTTAGGAAATGTATTAACATGCACCCAAAGGCTTCACCCAGAATCCTTTGCTTCCTCCTTCCCCTTTAGTCCGTGTAGCAAATCAATCATCAAATCCTGTCTGGTCTAGTCTGACCATCTGTCTCCATCTCTATCCCACTAGTCCAAGCTACCATCACTGATAACGTACACAACTGCAGTAACCTACAAAATGGTGTTCCTGCCTCTAGAACTGCTCCCCTCCAATCCATTTAGTCTCTACTGAATTTAAAAAAGCACGCAACTGATCATATCATTCTGATGCATAAAACCCCACTATCCTAAGACAATATCCAACTTCTTTATCCTGCTTACAATGCCCCCAAAGTACTAGCCCCTGTGTATCTCTCCAAATCCACAACTTACACCTCCCCTGAGCTCTCCATGCTCCAACCATCATGACAGCCTTTGGGTTCCTTAAACTCACCATATTTTCTCTTACCACTCTTGAAGAGCTTGTCTTCAAGTCTCACTCAAATGTTACTTCCTCAGGAAGGCCTCTCTAAACCCTCGAACTGGATGAGCTGCTTCCTTGACATCACAACAGCCCACCCTTCAGCACTGTTTGCCTGTATTGCTCTTCTAATTTCTTCTTCCAGATTTGTCTCAGTGGGAACTTGTTCTCTGCTGTAGCCTCAGTGCCTGAGCCAGCTCTAGGGCCATATTGGCTCTTAATAGATATTGGTAAAAATCAGTGAGTAAATGGATCAATGAAAATATGGGAAAAAAGCCAAAGTGATTCTATAGTAGCAGTTAATTTGTATAGCAAATTGCTTTAGATAAAACAGAGACTGCAATTAAGGGGGTGATATCCCTCATTTCTAAGCCAAGGACTGGCAAAAAAAAAAAAAAAAAAAGGGTGTAAACCCTTCCAGTGGAGAGGTCCCACTGTTCTGATCATACTTTCTTCCCTTCCTCTTACACAAGCAGAAAATAAATACTTGTTTTCTGTAGACAGGAGAATTTACATCCTGCACTTCATCACATCAAATTGTAAACAACAAGAAAAATAAACAATGGCTTTGACCTTGGTCTGACTCTGGTCCTTTTCTTCTTTTCCAAAGGTGTTGGACTTTGATCTCTGAAAACAGTGCTTTTCAAAAACAGATCTCCAGCACCACAGACAGAAAGCAATCAATGATCTGAGCAATTCCAAATGGCTCCAACAGAGGTCTCATTCTCAAGCCCTGGGTATCACTCCCCTGATAATTGTTATGCCATTTAGTGATTTCTGCTTTGTAAGAACTGGGACTTTGTTAAACCCAATCACAAAAGCTCCCTGACATTGAGTACAAAGACTCATGTTCTTTGGGTACTCACTAAATGCTTGCTGATGATCAAAAGATAATAAGATACATATGCTATATAGTAGATAAATTGAGGCTAAGGTTTATCACTCAGAAGGATAAGAAAATTCCTTAATTTGGATTTTACTTCCACTTCTATTATAGAAAAAGGTCCCTTTTGTTCATTAAAGAAAACATGGTATAGTGAAAACACTCTGGGGTCAGAAATAACTGACTTAAATTCCAATTCCACATTCTACTAGCCGTATGACTTTGGGCAATGTAGTTAACCTCAGTTAGTATCCAGTTCCTTCATGTGTAAGGTGATATTAATATATACCTCCAGGGTATAGTAGGCTGCTGGAGTGGGAATCAAGTGAGATCCTGCAAATAGTGTCTAGAAGTGTCAACCTCAGGGAAAGCAGTAACTGCTGGTTCTCTTCCCCTCTTACACTCAGCCAGCATGACACCCGTGAGGGAGGCTCTATCTTCCAGCGGGACACTAGATCCATGGGGAAGCGATAACCAAGAATTAGATAGGAGATGAGATGATTCTTCACAACAGAACTACAACTAAGACCCAAGTGGATTAACAGACAAGTCAAACTCCCTTCTTCTATTGTTCACGATGATCGGTGTCTGAGGCTAACCACAGTGCTAAGCGTGCTTAGTCTGTTTTTCTCTTACTCCTGCTGAAAATCATTTTAAGATATCCAACTTCAGAAAAAGGATCACTCAAGCTCAGAGTATTCTTTCTTAGGCCCTTCTGAGCAGTGAGTTTTGGGGTCTGCACAATGGCATGGGTGACAGATGGCAAGCAGCTGTGCCAGAGACGTTTTGGTGCTACTCACAGGCCTGAAACGGTGTCCTGCTGGAGGTAAGGCAGGGCTTTGGCATTAGCAATAATCTCCTGAGGCAGAGATGAGGGCTCCATGCGCTGGAACATGGGGGCATTTTTCTGGGTAAAAAAAAAAAAAAGGAAGGAGAAGAAAATTCCAGTGACTGCAGAGTTTGCTGTGGGGAAAATAGTTTACATGGATAATACAGGCACATAACTTACTCTCTGTGTGACTACTTTAAACTTCGATCCACTGGGTTTCTAATTCCACATCACTAGCAAGTTCTTGGGCCTGCACCCATTACTGCTGCTTCTAAGTCCCTGCAGGGCACTAGGCCCCAGGAATGCACAGGCCTATCCCCTCCTGGAACTCCTCACGGCCCACCCACTCAGCATGCTGGCATGGACCTTCACCTGTTCCTCCAGCTGCTGCCTCTGCTTCTTCACCTTACTCTGCTTATAGTAGTCCATGATCATCATTGCTGCATAGATTTTGCCCACAGTCAGGTCAGAGGCTAAAAACACAAATGTGGCATGATAGTGAAGAGCGGGAAGATGACCAGAGAGACTGAGGAACCTCTAAGATTTGTTACCCACTCTCTGCAACAGGTCTGCACTCTCAGTTACCCATTCATCCAACCTATGGTGAGGGCCCCCATGGTGCCAGGCTCTAAGGATACAGAGTGCATAGGTCTCCTGATCTGTCCTCGGGAGCTTGCATGCCCACCTAGTGATGGTTATGATAGGAGGATAGGCAATACATGAATAAGCATCACACCTACCATCCTAAATCTCTACAGCTAAGTGACAACATCCTTTCCCCCATGAGGCTTTGCTGAGCGGTATCATGTGGAGGAAGAGAGCTATACACCCAGGCAGTCTCATCCACAGCCACTGTGACCTATCTTAAAGAACATGTTTTCAATTAATAATGACCAAAGGGACTTAAGGGTAAAAGGGCAAACTCTCCTTATCTCTTTGATCACTCTTGGTCTCCCCAGAAGATGTGGCCTTCACATACTGGGCCCACAGTGACAAGGATATCCAGGAGAAGACCCGAACCTTTGGGCATGGGCACAAGCAGATCCAGCATCTTCTGGGATAGGTGAGGCCAGATGGCTAGGGTCTCCTTCTGTAGCTCTGAGTCTAGCTGCTGCCTATCTGCACCACCTAGAAGAAGATACATTACTAGTAAATAGATCAGAACAGACCCAGAAATAACAAGGACTGAGGGAGGAGGTGGGGGTAGAAGCTGAATCAGCAGGGGACCTCATATTCTAAGAGGAAATCTTGGCACTTAGTGATGGTGGATCTCGCAAAACCAGGCCTTTCTGCTGAAGAAGCAGAACACATTTTGGCTCCTGTTTTCAGTGACTCAGGGATATCCTGCCAAGAGATCTGAGGCCCTGAGACTAACAGCAGCTTCCTCATTCATTCTGAAAGCCTCCCAGGTGCTCAATATATCAGAGGAGAAAATAAAAATAGCCACAGGTACACTCCTCTGCCTTCTTATCTATACATCAATCCTTCCAGCAACCCTAACTCCATAGTCTGAGTGACCTCATCTTACAAAGATTTAGATCAGGCAAGAACAGAGAGGCCAAAGGTCCAACTGAAGTAGGAGTAAACCTGTTCTCTCCTAAATCAATGATTCGAAATCAAGAGGAATAAAATACTACCATGGCCTCTATGGCAGCACCTTCTGCTACAGAAGCCTCTCAAGGCTTCAAAGAAAATAAACCGTATGTGGAAAAGGAGGATAAAATTAACCTTTGGTCAATAAATATTTCTAGAATACATATTATAAGCCAGACACTGAAGAACATACACTTTTAACTCTGAAAGAAGCCCCAGAGATGATCAAACCATTCATTGTACCAGAAGGGAATGGCAAATACTAGTTAGTTATTGAGTCAGATACTCGATGTTCAGATGACTGCACTGTTGTGCTCTTAGCCGGATGGATGATAGTTCAAATATCTCCGTCCTGTGCCACCTGCATGAGTTGTTCCAGAATTCCTCCTTCCCCGCTCCCTTCCGAAGCTTACCTTTGGCAATTTTAATGTCCAGAGCTGTCCGGATCAGAGCCATAAGCGTGGAGGTGAAGTGAACTGTCATGTCCTCAGCTACTGGCATGTTCATCAGGACCAGCCTCTGTGTGGAAGAGAAAAAAGAAAGAGCAGGCAAAAAAAAAAAAAAAGACACCTCAGTGAGAAAGGAAGAAAAGGCTAGAGGTCAAATGCACAGACAAAAAAGAAGGGCAAGGATCCCCATCCCCTGCCCCAGTCCTTCTCTCCCTGCTTCTCACTTAAGGCTCATTTGATGCTGGTTTTTTTTTTCCCCCACTGAGGGAATGATGCCAAATTCCAAAGGGAAGGAGCTTCCCTAATCATTCTGTAGGGCTCCCCCATGGAGTCCTAAGAATGTCTTTGAAGGAGATGGGAAATGATATCTAAAAGAAGAGGCTCAAGGAAAGGAGTCAGCTCTGGGAGGTGGCTCCTTTCCCTGTTCAAGGCTGCTCCATATTTCCACTTGTCCCATGAATACCCCTAGAAACTCACATGGAAATATAGTGAGAAATGAGATTTTGCTTTGCTTATCTGACTTGAAAGATGCATCCTGGTGCCCCCTTTTTGAGTCTTTAATAGATGAAATTTGCCAGCACATGACCGAACATGCATAAGTCCAACTTATCTAAAGGGTGAGGTGGAGCAGGATGGATAAGGAGGAGAGTGCAAACAGGCTCTGGGGTAGGAGGATGGAGAGAGCAGAGGAGAGAACAAGAGAAGGGTGGCTCAGGCAGGAGCAGAGTGGGCAGGCCTTGTTCCCCTCACCCAAAGAAAGGGATCACACTGAAATGGCCAAATCCACTTTCCAGAGAGTATCTTGCTTTTGGAGTTCTTTAACTTTTCCTCCAATCCCTGCTCTCCTTCTCCCACCAAGCTTCATCCCGGAAGTACAAATTCAAGGCCACATTCCACCACCTGGTACTTTTGGATGTGGCCATCGTGAGCAAAAAGGATGCCAGCCCCTAAGCTGTGTACGAGGAGCCATGTACTGGGGGAATGAGGGTGCCTAAGAGCCATGTTCCAGTGAGATGCTCTGTGGAGCCATACAACTTGAGGTGGCAGCAGGAGAAGGTCCTCTGGCAGAACCACCAGCCTGGCAGGGAGGGAAGTACCTCTTCGCAAAGAAGGGTCTCTAGGGTTCCACTGTGGCATCCTGCCTAAAGCTGATGCCACAGGGTGTCTTAGAGTGGAAAGCCAGTTTGTTTGGATTTGAGTTCCATCTCTCTCCCACATTTTTTAAATTCTAGAGAAGTGGAAGCATTACTATGATGTGTTCCTAGGTGAATAAAAGAGCTCCAGAATTCTGGGTCAGTCTAAACAGCAAAGGGGAACTAACCGTAACTATTACCAATGGGTGGCAAAACAACTCATGTCCAAAAGCTATGAGCACCCTGATGGCAAGTGACTCCCAGTGCACAATCATCTCAAAGTGTCAAGCCACGGTGGAATCCACCCATAACTCCAGGGCCAGGCCCCATAACTATGTCATGCCTAAGGCAAATTTAATGCTGAATACAACTTATGCCCATTATTTCCCTTCTTTTCGAGTATTTCCAAGACAGTTGGGTAGCTGGGGTAAGGGGATGATACAGCCGCATTCCTCAGTTTATCACAGGATGGAAGACAGGTTCCTGTTTTCTTCTTATACCTAGAAGGAACCTATGCCATTCTTCTTATATCATGGGTGAAAACATTGGTTAAGTTTTCCTCACTCCTAAAAGTGTCTTAAGGAATTTTCTTTTCTCCTAACAATTCTATGTTCAAAGGAATTTCGGTGTGATTTCCTTAATTAATCTGATTGAAGATATTTCTTTGCATATGAGCACTGATAGCTGTTTTGCTGTAGGCTTCCTTCTTGCCCATCTATGCCATCCCACAGGCCACCACTCTGCCTCCTCTAAAAGGAAACACACCACTTAACACACTGCTTGTCAGGTAACTCACTCACAAGAAGCCACACAGTTGTAGAAACACAAAATATCACATAAAAAATCATGGTGAATAGTATTGAAAACCATTCCTTGAATCATCTCACAGGAACCTGCAGCCTCCTGGGAACCTTCCTGACTACTGAGCCTCATCATGCCTTTCCTTCTCAGTTCCCTCCTCCACCTCCCCAGCCTGGCTTCCTCCCCATGTTCTGGCCTCCCCACAACTAGATCCCATTTCCTGTTGGTCTCTAGCCCAGAACAAAGGAAGGGGTGGTCTACCTTATATGCCACTTTGGAGGGACATCTCTTGCCGAGGCCTAGCGGAGGTGACATGAGAGTCAGCATTTCATACATCTCAGTGTAATGGATGCGGCCACTGCTCATGGAGGGTGGTGAGTTAGGATGGGGTGGGTTAGCGGGGCAGGGGGGTGGCAGGGAAAGGAGAAGGAAGTGGGGAGAAGGATGCAGACAGGTGGGAGCGGAGAACAGGCATTCCCAGAGAGCAAAAACAAACAATACAGAAAACAGGAGAAGAAAAACAAAACAAAATGGACAAACGGGAAAAGAATAGGAAACCTGTTAATCAAGGCAAATCGTAGACATGACTCCATCCTGGTGCTGTTTATATCACGCCCCACACAGACCTGGGAACACGGGTGGCAACCTTCGGTCCCTCTGACTCTCTTCGGGAACGGTCACGGGGACTCATTTTCTCCTCGATTAGTACTCCCCTGGCTTCCCTGTTCACTTCATCCCTCCCCAGGACAACACAGCTTATTTTCAATTCCCAGGGCTGTGTGTGAGCGGTATAAACCAGATAGACGGTGCTCCAGCCATGGGTTGGAGTTTCTGACCCCGGCTGGGGCGCTGGCCTGGAAGTCAGGCTGTTCTCCTCTGAACCCACAGGTGGAACGTCGTGTATCCCCCCTCTGTGGTGTGTGTGCAGCAGGAGGCGGCATCTTGCGCTGAAGGTGGTGGGCTGTGCTTGCTGCTCAGAGTTGGCCCCGTTGCTTCCACCTGGCTCTGTGGACAAGACTGCTCTTTATTCCCCAGCATGTGCCAGGTCTGTGGCATGCTGGGGACAGAAGAAACAAAACCAGGAGGAGGAAGAGCATCTTGCATGCCATGCTGCCCTCCCCAGCTCTCCCACATGCGGCTGCGCGTTTCACCAGAGTGGAGTTTAAAGAGTCTCAGCTGAGGGAGCTGTCCAGCCTCCTGAGGATGGAATCACTATGTCAACATCCCAGGCCAGCTGTATCCCATTGTGCAGGCTGGCATCCTTCCTGAGCCTAGGTCTTCTTCCAGCCTCCTGGGCAGTGCTATGCCCCAGGGAACCTATGCGTCCCTCCACTTGCACCAGGAGAGTATTCCTTACTTAGCAGGCTTGGCCTTAGATAGGGGCTTAGTAGAGCCACTGGGATATAGAAAGTTCCCAGGGTATGGCGGAGTTGAACAGGGAGGTCTACTCACAATATCCTCAGTCTGACAAGAAGCGACTTGGAAATTATGACAGTGCCCTCAGATCCCTCACAAAAACCCATGGCAGGTCTAAGGCAGGGACTCTGCAGAGTAGCGCTTCATTCACTGTGATCTTCCCAGGCCCTCTGAGCTATTACTACCTTCTTCTACACAGCACCATATCCATGCCTCTCTTATATACTCTCACCTCTTGCCCTAATTCTTTGTTTCTCACCCCTTCTGTCCTATAGCTTTTGTAGTCATTCTGACCAAACCATTCAGAGGCTGGGAGGGTGAGATCACCAGGACCACACTCCATATATCACACAGGGGATGATGATGCTACTTTGCTAAAATGAGGCTTCTCTGTCCCCAGTGAAATGAAGCCAGAACTCTTTGCCAGATTAAAAACATTTCTGCATTCTATAGAGAAAGGAGAGGTTCCTCTGGTTAACTGTGCAGACTAAGGCAGACCTGTGTGTGTGTCTGTGTGTACATGTACACACAAGCACATACATGAGTGTGTGCATCTGAAGAAGAAAGTGATCACATTGGTCTTCATATGAAGTTCTTAACTCTTCTGCATTTTCCCCAAAATATCCCCTTCTGCTTACATAAGAGCTGCTGGTTCTGGAAGGGTTTGGACCTCTTTAAACTCAAAGGAAAGCAACATGAAGGTTCCCTCATGTGGCACAGTGGTGGTGGAGCAGAGGACAGAGAGGAAAGGTTAGATGTTGCATCCCACGGCAGGTCATGGCTGGGGACTGGGGGGCAAACCTTGCAAGCCACCCTGTAGGGGCAGTTCTCTCCCAGGCCCAGAGGTGGTGAGATCACCCGCACTAATTTGTACATGTCCTTGTACGGGATCCTGCCGCTGTAAAGGAAGCACACAGGTGGGTTAACAGGACGCTTGGAGGAGGCTGGGAAAGACAGGGCAGCTTGGCCACGAAGACGATGGCCGAAAGAGGTCAGAGCGGCAGCTTTCCCTGGGCCTGGCAAAGCCAGACCAGGAGAGACTGAAAACAGTCAGCACCAGAGAACCGTTACCTTGCCGAACTGCACTGCTGCAATTTTCTAAGGAAATCGGAGCCCAGCCAATGCCACAGGGAACTGCCTACTGACCAAGAGCACCCCGTGATACCTATCTGGCCCATACCTGGCCAGATGCAGACACAGCCCTGGCTCTAGCTAGGCTTCCAGCAACAAACACTGCCAATGCACAAAGGACTCGGACCGCTGTCCAGGGCAGACACCAGGCTGCCTTGAAGTGGACTGCAGAACTGTTTGCTTTCCACAGACACTGATTACAGTCAGTTACTCAGACCCGCTTGTCAGGGGCAGTGAGAAGTCGGCGGCTTTCTGCAGTCTGGAAGAGACACATTTCCCATTAGGCTAATTAGCAAGGAGCACAGTTGGCATGAGGGAAATCACAAAGGGCTTTGCTTCTCTTTGTAACAGATTTTTCTGTGTTCAGCTTGGGCAAGTCTTCTCTACTCAGTAGGAGCCTGCTAAGGTCTGTGTTCAGAGAGCAGCCAGGGAGGAAGCCATGGACACTGCCCCCCCCAGCCCCCTTCCTGTCACCCAGCCCACAGCAGCTTGTCTGGAGCCAGCCAGAATTATAGGAACCACATGACCTATCTTACCAACCCTTTTCCCAGGAGCCCCTAGACAGTTCTGGATTCCTATGGAAGGGACAGAATTAACGATGATGAATTTTCAGTGACCACAGCATCTTCTCTGTCAGGGGCCAGAAAAAGAAGCAACACCCAGGGGTTTGCAGGTCTGTATACATCCTGACACAGACCAGGGTTTCCACTGGAAATGATACACACAGCATCTTCACCTCTGTGCATTCAGTCCTTGCTGGCAGCCATGTGGAAGCTACTGCTTCAGTCCAGCTTCACTCTTTCTAGGCTTTTTGAGATTTCATGGTTAATTCCTCCTATTCTTTCAGAGAGCAGCTCATCAGTACCTCCAAGTCTCTCAATGCTTGAGAGGACGTAATTTAGCCAAATGTTCTTCCATTTTGCCTTAGTGAGATTGGGAAGCAGGTGGGTTGGGAGTGGCTATAGACTGATGTTTTTTGCAACTGGTATCAATCCTCCTTTTGAAGACATTGGCTCACATTACTTTTGTTAGTCTTCCTCGTCCATCTTATAAAGAAAGCCAACCAAACTCTAACTAGAATGACTTACACTGTGAATTTCAAAGCACAAAGAAGAGATTCTTTGTCTTTTTGCTCTTTCCCAGTCCTCATGTCTGAGTCTCATGATTCATCCTCATGGAACCATTTCTTCCCAGCAACTGGAATGAGTAGGGTGGAACATGTTTTATACACATTGCCTTTGGATGCCAAGATAAGTGAAACCACAGGAAGCTGGGGTTTCTGGGAGCCAAGGATACCTGAGTGAGCCCAGATGAACAATGGACTCTTTTGCTCACAGCTGGTTTCTCCTCTTGGGTGAGTAAAGAAGTCCCTTCTTAGGCTCCCAATCTCATAGATATCCATGGTTACAGGGGCCCATTTTCCAGACATTCCAAGTAGCATTCCTGTGTGGTTATCATCGATTGTAGTAACAGTTACACACATGATTTAATATCATCCTCACGACCATCTTGCAAGGTATGTAGGTATCACAGTTGCCATTTTACAGGTAAAGAAGCCCAGAGTGGCTACGTGACTTGTCCAAGGCCATGGAACCGAAGACACGCCGTCCTGGCTGCATCCTCCTCTAACACACTGCCCATCACTTTCTAAGAACTGTTTACTAGAGAGTAAGACCAAAAAGAAAAAAACTGTTGCTCAAACACTGTAGTAGGAATGGATTTAGGTAACTGTACCCTGTCATTAATTACTGAAGGAAAGAATTCTGATTCACCCTTCGTCTCTAAAACAGTAACTCAAGTTCAACAGCCTCACCAGAGGATAGATTTTTGGGAGAAGTCTCTGATCATGAAGGGGGTTCCAGGTGGAAGCAACTTGGTCCACGCCTGTGAAGGATAACATTCCTTGTATTTTTCAGAGGGGGGCCAGAATGGATAGAAGATTGGTGAGTTAAGACCCAAAAGCTAAAATGACCTGGAATAGAACATATCCTTTGGAGTCAGCATTCACAGAACTCTCCCCTTGTCCTCAATCATGAGGGCCAAAATGCTGCCTTTATACTCTAAAGCAGGGATTAGCAAACATTTTTGGCAATAAGTTTTTTAACATTATAGGTTGGTGCAAAAGTAATTGTGGTTTTTGCCGTTACCAAACTGTAATTACTTTGGCACCAGCCTAACATTTCTATAGTAAATACCTTAAAATTTGAGGGCCATACTGTCTCTGTCACAATCATTCACCTCTTCCTTGTAGTATGTAAACAGCCAGAGACAATACATAAATTAATGGTTGAGCTGTGTTCCAGTAAAACTTTATTTGCAAAAACAGACAGGGGGCTGAATTTCACCCATGGGATATAGTTTGCCAGTCCTTGCTCTAGAGCCTAGAAGGCACACCATCACTTTGGAACTACTAAACAGCAAAAGAGACAGTAAAGAGGTTAGCTTCTCCAATTCCTACCATTTAATTTAGTTCCATGTAGTAAAAATCCACAAATGTTTAACGGAGCAGTTGGAAGAAAAACTTGTTGGGTTTTTTAAAAAGAATAACTTGGGAGTTATATCCAACTGTATGTGTGAGAGGAATGAGAAAGAGGAAACACTCATAGTCACTGATCATGGTGGCCAGATGTCCAGCTGGCCAAAAATGCTTAACTGCCCTGGTAACAAAGAAGTCCCCTGATCATTGGCAGAAAAGGGAAAGATTATTAGAAATTCCTCTTGGGATTGAACTCAAGTAATCTAAGGTAAGGACTGGGTGATGAGACCAGCCCAGAAAGGGAAGAGCCTGTCACAAAAGGAAAGAGAGGGGAAAGGAGGAGACAGAAGACTGGTGACCAGCTTGATACCAGAGCCTCTTCCATGGGCCACAATCAAGAGGAATCTCCTTTCCTTCTGTAACGGGCAGGCATTTAGGTGGCTCCAATTCCAACCTCTTCCCTGGGAACTCCAGAGACCTTTGCTCTGGGCCCCGCTGGAGTGGCCAAGGGGCCTACGCACCATGCTGCTCGGTCATATTCTGCCCAGACGCGGACGAACTCATCCAAGTGGTGAGGCCCCAGGATGGAGGAGTCCCGAGTCAGGTACTCAAAGTTGTCCATGATGACGGCCACGAATAGGTTGAGCATCTGAAGAGCAAGGGGAAGAACAGGGGTCAGGAAAAACCCAAAGAAGAGCTCAGGAAGCAGAAAAACAGGCTTTAGGGAGAAGAAGAGAATCCAAAAGTTTGTAGGGCTGAAGTTCCTAGCTAAAGCACCACTGATCTTGCTATTCAACATGTTTTCATTATCTGTACCATACATTTCATTGTGTGGACATTCTTACATTTCTATGCTACTTCATATTTGCAGAGTACCCCACAGTCACTTTTATTATCCGTTCCATTTATTTAATTGTTACTGTGGCAGCAGAGGGAACAGCAGCAGCTACAACATTCTTGAGGGCTAGAGGAAGTCAAGGCCAGATGCCAACCTTCCCTCCCCAGCCTCCCCATTCATTCTTACTCCACAAAAGCAGCCCAAAGAAGAACTGTTAACGTGTCTTAGAGCTGACGGCATGGCCTACTGCTGTGATGACTTGAAGCTGTTGGTGGCTTTTAAGCAGCTTCTGAGTCCCTACTCACCCACTTAATTTGTTTAGCCAGCCTTTGCTGTGCACCTACTATGTTCCAGAGATTCGGGTGCCAGAGATGTGAGATAAGAAAGTCCTTGTCCAGAGGTATGTTCCCATGCCGAGCACAAGGCTTACAGCACAGCAGGGCTTCACTAGATGTGGTTACGTGAATGCTCTTCAAGACTGATTTGGTACTTAGGAGAGACTATGATGTAATGGAAACATACAAATGTTAAGAGCCATGAAAGAAGCATGTGCAGGTTACAGTGGGGACAGAAAGGAGCATGAAGGCAACTTCTGTCTGAAGAAAAAATGTATAAGAGGGTGGATGCTTGAGTACTGTTCACCAAATAGACATGGGCATGGAGGAGGGTGTTTTAGCGAAGGAGCCAGCACAGAGGTATGCAGGGATGGGGAATAGCCGGGCATCTGCAAGGAGGGTGGAGCAGCTGGATCCAGTGCCAGATCACAGAAGCCTCTCAGAAACGGAGCTAAAGAGTCTAGACCAGGACCGGTGAACTGGTCAGGTAGGAAATCTTTTAGGCTCTGCAGGCTGTGTGGCCTCTGCTGTAACTATTCAGTTTTGCTGTTGTAGCACCACAGACCGACCATTTGTATACAAATGAACACAGCTGCGTTCTGGTAAAGCTTTGTTTATGGACACTGAAATTTGAATTCCATGTAATTTCCACATGTCATGAAGCATCTTTCGTCTTTTCTTCCCTCAACCATTTAAGAATGTAAAAGCCATTATTTCATGGGCCACACAAAAACAGATGGTAAACCTGATTTGTCCCATGGGCTATAGTTTGCCAGCCGCTGATCTAGACTGTTCTCTAGGCAACAGGAAGTACTCAAGGGTGGGAAACCAAGGGAGGGTGTTGCGGTACTCCTGCATCGAGCAGGGGCAAGATGGCAGCACAGACTGGAGTAGAGAGTTAACAGAGGTGGAACCGACAGGAGCTGATGGCCACAGTCAACAGCACTGTCTCGTTTCCTGGCTGCCCCACACACTCATTCCCTTTATTTCTGGTCCAGGTTCTTGCCTGTTCCCAGTTAATGAGATTCAGTGGAACACCCCCCTGTGACCCAGGCCTCAACTAGTCACTAAATCCCATTTCCCTGGGCACAGTGGTCGGTGATCCCATCAAAACCAATAATATGGTATTGAACCTTCTGGGCAAGAGAGTTGTTTTTCCTGTCGCTCTTAAATGTATGAGAATGTGAGGTCTAGAGCTGCTACCACAGCCATCTTGAGACATGATACTTGTACTCACAGGGATGGAGCAGGGTGGAGGCAGAGATCTGTAAAGAGAGAGAAACCTGGACCGGATGATATCATCTGAGCCCCATATCAAGCCTGCTCTGCCCCAGGACTCCTCATTTATAGGAGCCTGTAAAATCTCACTTAAGCTGGACTTAGTTGGGCTTATTGTCTCTTATAAGTGAAAGGGTCCTGCCTGATAGATACCATCTCGCAGAACAGGAGTCTCTGTTGTGGAACCCCAGGTAAAGTGGCCAGGTGCACAGAGGTGCCAGATATGCAGACAGGGTGTACAGGATAAGGAGACAGTGTGGAGGAAGGACACGGTTAGAGTCTCTCTACAACACAGAGAGACAGCTGGTCACACCTAACAGACTCTTCTCTTCCTTCCTTTCTCCTGCTGCCTAGAGTATAAATGGATGGCTGGAGGTCTAGGTATCTTCTCTCCATGAGGATGAGGGACATACCACAGAGGTGATACAGCAGAAAGCAGGAGTGGGAGCCACCACAACCAGACTGCCTGCCTTCTTCCTGGCTTCACTGATGTGGACGGGAATCAGCATCCCTCCTAGCTAAGCTGCTGTTATTTGGAGATTTCTGTCTCAGGCACGTGAACCTAATCCCAACATGGGCCTATCATTCTGCCTCTGAGGTTGGAGCCACGGTGAATTTGTTCAACCACTGCCTGGGTTATAAAGGGTTTTCCATGTATCCACACATTTCTTTGGTACTGTTTTCAGGCTACTTATTATTAATGTTAACAAAAACTATTAGCGTTGTTACTGCTTTTCATTTGTACAGTCATTAAGAGTGCAGTGTGTGGAGTCACACCTATTACTTGTTTTTATGCTTGCTCCAACTCTCTGTGAGGCAGGTTTAATTACCACCACCCTTCAAGGACAGAATTCTTCGGATTCACGTTTGTATTCTTAGCTTCCAGCACGAGGCCTGGGGCACATCGTGGGGGCATCAGTAGAGCTCTGTGAAGTTTGAGTTGAGAAGCTGTGTGACTTGTCCAAGGTCACAAAGTCAGTCTCATATGGAGCTGAGACCTGAAAGCAGATCATCTCATCCTGAATATAGCCTCGTTAAAAATAACATTAATGTGAATTATGCAGCACCCTCTGTCTCAAAATTCCAAAAGTACCTTTATGGTCTCTAATTAATTTCAAGTTATATCTTTGGTTTCTTTTAAATATTTATTATGAAACACTTAAACCATGTAAGATAAAACTGAGATGTCCACATGCCCTTCTATCTGTTCCATTCCACCCTAGCAGTGAGCACCGACTCCTGGAAGCCGGAAGCTGTGAGCCGGTTTCACCCTTGACTACTGGTGACTGAGGGATGGGCCTTGCTGAGCGTGAACCTCACGATGGCCACTCAATAAAAATGGGCTGAAGACGTGAATCGACGGAAAACTCCCAGGATAGCATTATTGTAAATTTCAGGGGGGTTTTCTTTATACATTATACTTCCATATTGATACAGCTGTGTATTCTTTTTACTGAAAAACCTTTCACATTCATAAGAAGGAAGTGTATTAAAACATGTGGGTCAGTTCATTGTGTATATAATGCTCCCATTATTAAGTCATTTTTTTCTCCTATTTTATAGAGGCTATAAAAGGGAAAGTGTCTTGGCCAAGGCTAGTGGTGGAACAAAGCCAAGATGACTGCACGGGCTGCCCATGTCTCCCACTAGCCCGCTCCCTGCCACACTGACCTACAGGCAACACTTCATGGTCTCTCTGTAGCCCACCCCCTGCTCACTGGCGAGCCGGACATGTGGGAAGTTTCAGTCCCCTTGGGATCACTTGAAAGAGACAGTAAGGCCTGGACCTAAGACAATTAATGCACTTTTGGATGCATGGCCAGAAAGTGACCGCTTTTCAGTGGCATCACTGTTTCAGTTTTAGGTTTTTGTGCAGCCAGTGGTATTAGCAGTGAACCTGAGCTGAGGAATTTCAGAGTGACCAGAAACACTAAACTGACCCTTTTATTCATTGAGGCTGTTTATCATTCTTTGTCTGATATGCAGGGCAAAAGTTTCTGGATGTGGGCATGCTGAGTCATGCTTTCTCCAAAAGAGACTTAAGAGGCACCTAGGGCTTCTCACCACTTTATAGGTGGGTGCTCCACCTCTCCTACTCAGTATTCACTGACATCCAAAGCAGTCAAGCAACCATATCTTTGCTCATCTATCAAGCTGGCCAATAATCATCAAATGTCATAACATTACAAGTTAAGAGAGAACCACATTTATTCCATTATCATCATTCTCCTCCTATCCATGCATTTTTCAAGGTACCTTTCCTCAAGCAGTTAAAGAGAAGATATTCATAGCCCTATTTACAAGATAAAGTACCCCAGGTATGACAAAGAAAGGATTTACTGAGTGTTCCCTGGTTCAACATGAAGCTCAATGCACTGAAATATGCTCACCTTTCCTTTCCACAACAATCTTTCCCTAGAAGCAGCAAAGACTTTTCTCAACCATTGAAAGTCACCCACCCAGGAGTCTGACAGGCACCCTAGTCTCCAAGAGTTGTCCACAGGAGGATCTAGCTCTTAACATGGGCGTGAGTGTGAGTGTGTGCATGGTGGGGGTGTGGAGAGAGGGGAAGAGGAGGGGAGGAAAGCATGAACATACACTGAAGCAAACATCTCCTATTTATCAGAAGGGTTGGGAGGAGGAAGGGATGGGCCACATCTCAAGGCAAGAGCACACCGTTGCTCACCAAGAAGGAGCAGAAGAAGATGAAGGAGACAAAGTACACGTAGGCCAGATCGGTGCCACAGCGCTCGTTCTCGTTCTGCCCTGATGGTGCGGTGGTGTCAGGCTCACAGCCCTTCTCCCCAAGGCAGGACAGCATGATCTCCTGCCAGGCCTCACCTGTGGCGCTCCTGAGCCCGAGAGACATCGTGGTTAGCAGGAGCGGGTCTGCAGATCCTATCACATGCTGGGTCCTCCTTCCCAACTCCCCCATCCCTTCTCTTGGCCTGGGCCCGACAGGCTCCCTTGTTACCCAGTTGATACTCTCTAGTGCTTTCCATGCAGAGATAAAGAGTGCCAGTGAGGTCTCTTTTGGGTTCTGCTACCCCATCCACTGCCTCTCCATCTTCTGCAGGGTGTCTGGTACTAGTTGTGGGATTCTCTAAGAGCCCACATAAACCTGGCTCTCCGAGGTTTCTGCCCTTAAGTGGAATTTGGTCTGCAGACTCTGTCCTCACATCCCCCCTCCCAAACCCTTGCAGGCCACAGTGAAGTTAAAATTTGCAAATTAACTGCTGAGCCAAAGTAGTTAATTGATGCAATTTTCTCCCACCCAAGTATTTACCAGCCCCAACCCTGCTTAGCTTCCAAGATCGGACCAGATCAGGCCCATTCACGGTAGTGTGGCTGCAGACAAAACAAACCTTTCTAATGCTGTAGGGGCAGTTTGGCAAAGGCATCCCCCTTCTACTGACAGGAGCAAAGGAAGCAGAATAAAGATGCAAGGGGAAATGAGAGGAAGAGGCAGACCACCTCTCTCTCTCTCCATCAGGAGAACTCCAGCTACAACAGTTATGCATCCAGGTACCTGAACAGTAGCATTAGGGACCCAAAGAAACTCCGGAAGTTGTTGTGCCGGTTGATGTGACTCTCCTCATCTAATTTTATGTTTCCAAATACCTTAAGGAGAGAAACAACAGAAAACAATGAGCATTACCGAGCTGTGCGATGCGTCCAGCACATGGGGGTTGGTGAAGCCACGTGCATGGCTTTATGATAACCTACCCCTGGAGCAGACAACTCAGACCCAGAGAGCTGCTAGACACTGTGCTCTTGCGCTGACACGTAAGAATAATTATCCTCCACTGCTCCAGTGCAGCAAGGACGACCCATGCAGCAAGGTCCAAGCATAACGTAGAACGCAAGCTCTTTTGAAGTCATTCTGCCTGTACATAGTTCCTCCCGCTCTAATCTGGTCTTTTTATCTCCATGGTAGCTGTCACCATGCTACATAGTCTGTCAAAGACAGTATCTCACAGCAGGAGTGCAGGGAAGGAGTTACCCCTTTCTTCCTGTCTCAGGTAGTCATGATGGGAGCATTTAAATTTGCAAGAAGACATCATTTATGATTTGGGCAGATGCTACCCTGGAAATTACTAGCAGTTCAGGTCAGAGAGGGCGTCTCCATCTTCCTTAGATATGTTTCTATCCAGAAAGTCACATCTTAGATGGTCTGTATGTCATTAATGTGGAATCCATGACAATGAACACACATATATCGATATGCACATGTCTACATGTCCACATGTATCACAAAACAGACCCAAGTCCCATCTAAAAGTGAACATTTATGCAGGAGCTGAAGCAAAGTCCTGGCCAATAGGATGGAGAAAGTCGGACCAACTGGACACTTTGAAAAGGAAAACAGAAAATGGCCTTGGGCAGATTCTGGGTGACAGAGTGATGTTTACTGATCTGCTGCTGGCAGCTGAGCTTAGAATGTGATCACTGTGAATATTCAAAAGAGGGAACACTCAGAGATCTTTATCCAGAGACTGAATAATGATGAACTCTCAGACACAGTGCTACCTGGGGCCAAAGTCAACCCCTCCACTCTTCAGATGAAAAGGAGGCTTTCACACATGCACTCTCTTTCCCAGCCTCATTTCGAGCAGCAGGACCTATTCTCACAAGTCAATGCTGGTACTGTCGATGGCTTTCTGGGTTACTTTTCCAGCCATTTAAGACAATTTTCAGCCTGCAGTGAACATGCTTCAGTTTATCCAATGTATGCTAAATGGAACACATTCCCCCTCACAGTTTTTAGAATGTGCAATTGAGGAACAATCTCTGCCCCCAGCTATTTTGCTCAAGTAACTCCCACTGACACCTGCTCTGGGAATTTGTTCTCAACGCTGTTTTTCAAAACCCAAATACTACTTGTCTCTCAGGAAGAAAGGAGGTGGCAATCGAGGCAGCAGCGAGAAGAATGGAAAGAGGAAAAGGTAGAGGGCCCCAAAGAGACAAAGAGTAGCATTTTAAAAGTCCCACCCAAGCAATCAAATCTACCCCCAGGAGGGCACTGACATTTATCCTTGCCCTGGTCACATTTCTGGCCCTCTCCTTTCTTTTTTACCCTCTCGGTTTGGAATTCATGATTTATCCCTGATTCATCACAGACATACAACTTACAGTGTCTTTTTTTTTCCCTGTGACACTCCTGGAGCTGTCATGAGTTGTATTCAGTATGATTTTCTCAAATACCTCATCCAATCACGAATTCACTGGAGAACACACTGTGATTTTGCACAAAGTATGTGTGTAATAGTCTAAGAAACCAAAGCTATTTTGAATCGAAGATAATTTAAGTCAAGCTGGGCATGGTGGCTCACACCTGTAATCCCAGCACTTTGGGAGGCTGAGGTGAGAACACTGCTTGAGCCCAAGAGTTCAAGACCAGCCTGGGTAATACAGTGAGACCTCATCTCTTAAAAAGAAAAAAAAAGAATAATTTAAGTCAAAAACATGTATTGTGAAGGGGGTCTTGAAATTTTTTCAACTTTTCATTTACTCCTTGTCACTAACTTAAAAGTCCATCAATAGGGTATGAAAGAGAAAGAAGGGATGCTGAGGCCCCATAGAAAAATCTCACGAGAGTATAGATTTAAATCCGTCTCACTTGGAATCACAGAATGTTAGCACTAGAAGAGACTGGCGAAGGTCTCTAACCAACACCTCTGCTGAATTAAGGGGGGAGTTATGGTGAAAAGAGATTCAGTGATTCACCAAGTTCACACAGTTGTTCAGTGGAGGAGCTGAGGCTGACAATCCCACTTCCTAACACCACGTAGCCACAGGGCTCTGTCTCATCCCCACCAAGTTACTCCTTCTTTCTAACTTCCGATTCTTCTACAAAGGTCCCGTTTTCCAAGGAGCCTTTGAAAGTTTGGAATAATAATGGTTTTTCTCATAGATACACCCTGTTACTATTTATATGTTTCCAAAAGCTTGTCTCTTGCCCTCTTATTTGTATGAATCCCTCAGTTTTGTTGTGACTACATTAGATACAGTCTTTCTAGCAACAACTCAGGTGTCTGCTCTGTGTTTGATGCTAGGTCTCATCATGGATCAAGATGGGAATGGCCAGTTTAAAGCAAGTCAGAGCAGAAATGCCATTCATGTCTCTGTGGAATGCACACAGTGCTCTTATCTTTTGGAAAGAAATCTAAAGGGAATAAGATATTAGACTGTACAGTCACTGTGAAGACTACAGTTTCGTAACTGAACAACTCCTACCTCCAATGAGAGGGTAAAAAAAAACTTGTGTGTACTTGTCTGGTGGGAAGAGAGACAGTACAGAGTTAAGAACATGGCTAGGGAGCAGACAGGGCTGAGCTTACAACTCACTGCTTTCACTTACTGTCTGAGAACTTGAGCATTTTATAACTGTGCTAAGCAGCAATGGAGACAATGAAACACGTATAAATGTTTTCACATTACTCAGAAACATCAGGCATGTATCTTGCCTGTGCATGCTCGCCCTCTCTTCCTCTCACTCTCTCTCTCTCTATGCATACATTTAGTACAGTGTCTAGTACACCAAGGAATTTAAATAATGGTAAATAGCATCATCACCATTACCAGAATCAACAGTATTCATAGCGGATCAGTATTGGAGATGGTGTTATTCTAGTTTATTTTGTTTGAAGATGAAAAGGGGTAAGAACTATTTTGAGCATGGGCAAAAGGAACTTAATTATAACCAGACAAGAAGAATTACAGTGTTCCCAATACAAGTAAGAGATAAATGTTTGAAGTGATGGATACCCCAATTACCCTGATTTGATCATTACACATCACATACAAGCATCAAAATATCCCATGTACCCCCAAAATATCTACAACTATTACATATCAATAAAACAATAAATTTTGAAAAAACAATTTCATTTAAATCAAGCTTTCATTTGGCTCTTCAAGAATATTTTAATTCCGGAATCAAATATATTGGAGTTAGACAGGACTTCATGGAAGTTACCAAGCCAATCTGAAACTTCAGCAGGAATTCTGTTTCCAACACTGCCAACATCAACATTAAATTCCTACTGAAATATCCTCAATGGAGAACTCACTACTTCTCAACCAAGTCTCACACATTTTGACATCTGACATTCTACTGTATTTTTAGAGAACAAAATTATCCAGTAATAAAGAATGAAACCAAGAAGTATAGGCAAGAGAGAAGAACGAAAGGAAGAGACGTTTCAGAAGGGCTCTGGAAAGGGCTGCAGATACAGCAAGGCTGGGACACCCCAGCAGCAGCTCCAGGTGGCAACACAGTTGGGAAGGCAGCCGGCAGGCTTAAGGCAGCCAGACTGCCTGACTGCAGGAGGCTGTCACATAGCTGAAGTTCTGTGCTGGGATCCAGTCACAATATCTCCAAGTCAGAAAGTCAGCCCTCCGGAGACAAGCAGAAAGCCTGTGTCTCCAACCAGATAGGTTCATGGGATGTGCTGCTGGTTATTTACAGTAGGAGTTCACCCACCACAAACAACCATCATATTCGAAAGAGCCTCTGGCTTCTTCTGCTTAGCAGGTCTCTGGCTACCTGCATAAATACCTGGGGTGGGAACCTGATCTGCTTCTTAAGTTATGAAACTGTACCAAGTGTGGTAAAACAAGGGAACTGTCCAGCAAGTTGCATGGCCCCATTAGCTGGAACGTGGCCCTTGAATCTCCCTAGGAATGAGCATGCTGCCAGGAACTCTATGAGTTGTTCTATGATATGTCTTAGGGCATAAATCTCAGCCAGTCAAGACTGTGTAAGCATAAGACTCTATGAGACTATATGTGGAGATTTGGTGTCACCACACACAGGAAGAACTAACATCTAACCTCCTTTTAGGCCAAGTCAAAATACCAGAGATCCCGAGAAGTAGATCCACATGAGCTCCTCTCCTCAGTCTCCTGGGGGATCCTTTTGGCTAAGCACAATGGTGTCATCTTTGCTTTAGTTCTATGGCTGTCACCACAGAAGCCCAGCTACATATGATTTAGCACCATGATCTGAAAACCTGAGATGAAGCCCCTCTACCAGACTACCCTGAACACTTAGGCAAGCTAAATGGGGAGCCACTGCATATGTGAAATTCCCAAGGTCACACTGGACAAGACCTCAGGGGAGCACCCTTAGGCAAGAAGGGGTTCAAAGCATCTTCAGTCTTGCATGCTCAGGTTGCTAAGCCAGAGATTATCTGGGTAACAGCTGTCCCCCACCGGGCCCTTGTTTTACCAGCTCACCTGCATCCCAATGATGGCATAAATGAAGAAAAGCATAGCAATTAAAAGGCAGACATAAGGGAGGGCCTGGAAGAAAAGCAGAGATAAGACGTTAATCAAAGAAAGGCAGCACCCAGGCTCCACAACCTGCATTCACCAGCAGTACAGATCCACCAGGAGGCCAATGCAAACAGAGGCCTGGGACTCCCTATTCCCTGGGGCTGTTCCATTTTGAGGTGCAATACTCTCTCAGGTATCCTTGTCCTCTGACAGACAGGTAAACAGCTGGCCAAAGAGAGGCTTACAATTTACCTCTATCAGGAAGATTCACTCACCCATAAGTATAGCCCATATCTAGAAGGAGAGCTGGGAAAACTTCCTGGGCTTGGGGTTCCTCCCACTTGCTATGCAGAAAAGGAATAACCTAGCCATTGTAATGCAAATTCAACACTAGGAACCTAGCTTTGGCTTCCAAATCCCCCTTTATTACCCCCTCCCACTCCCATACCCAACGTGGCACCCATAATGAAGAATCTGAACTCAAAGTGAAATGACTTGGGTCTCACTTGTTTGTAAGTTCCTAGAAGGCTCATTCGTCTTCTGATGAAACATTATTTCCCAGTGTTTAAGCCTCCTGACGTTTTATTATGTTTCATGCAAAAGCTGTTAAGTTAGCCATCCAAAAACCCTGCCATGAAGCCATGCGGCACAAAATTCCATACTGTGCATGCTTTTTGCTGCTTTGAGATAACATTTTAATTGTAGAGGTGAGGGTCAAGGCAAGGAGCTGTGAGGCAGAGAACTGCTTGGTGCTGGAGGAGGATGTGGACACAGGCAGTTTGGATCTGGAGTCAGAGTGGGACACTATAATTTTGTAGTGATCTCACTGCTGCCAGAGAAGTCCCTCTTCTTTGCCATCCAGCAAGCTCCCTGGCAGACAGTGCTACAAGGAGTCTCCACCCTGTCTTGATTGTGCACACCACGAATCCCAAGAGATCAATTGAGGCTTTCAGACCGCATGAGCAGGGCAGAGCTCTTCAACAGCCCTAACAAAATGAGGAGCCCTGTGAGACTATTTACAACTTGAATAGAGGCTAAAATTAAAATGCAGCTGAAAGCGGGTGGGAGAATTCCCTCTCCAATGAAGTGTTGATTCCTAGGCTCTGTGATGAGGGACGGCTGCCCTCTGATGGGCAATTTGGACCTCCTCTACAGAAAGCCAGAAAAAAAGAGACAGGGCTTCTCACACCTGCAGTGCTGCTGCCTTCCATCTTTACCTTCCACCCTTATTCTACCTTCTCCACTCCTGTCCCTAGTTATCTCTTCCTACTCCTAACTTAGGGAGAAAAGCAAAGAGTCATTCTGTTTTCCTTTCTTGCCACATTATAATTTCTAACACAAAATAAGGGGAAAGAGGGAAGAACTCTAGAGTAGGGGTCAGAGGTAGCAAACTGGATGCTCTTTAGGGGAGGGTGGGGAAGGTAGAGGCAATGGAGATGCTGTTCATATTGTGTGGCTCTCTGCTTTGTATTTGCAGGGGTAGCCTTTGCTAATCTTTTAAAAATCTAACTTCTACGCTGTGTCCCAGAACTGTTCGGAAAAGAAAACATCTATCTACAACACAGTGTCACCTGGAGGCAGATTCACCTGTCTTCCCTGTTCTCTGTGGTATTTGCTGAAATAAGCCAACCATTTGGCCATCAATTTTTGACAACCTTTTCTTTGCACTGAATAGTATATAGTTTCTCAGAGACTTGGTGTTTATGATAATATGACAGGATGACACATATTTCTTAAGAGATTCACTAACAACTGAAGTCTGTTGGGCAATCCTCTGGAAAAAAAAAAGGTTTAAAAGCATCTTGTGTTTCCAATTCTAAATCCAAAATCATCTGAGACTCAGAAAATTCTTGCTAAGGTTTTAGATTTCTCCTCGGTGTCTAACTTTAGAAAAATAGTTTTCATTGAGGTGAGGTCTCCGTGGAAGTCATTATGCCAAACAATTGCTCTGGATAGGATAAAAATGTCAAAGTTGTTCCTAAGAGCCAGAACACCCTTAAAATTGATCTCACGTCTCAAACTCCCAGGTCCTCGATGAAGAAGTAAATCAGTAATGATGGATGTGAGCAGAAATCCTTTTCCAAGTGATGAGAAACCGTTAATTCAATTCCTTGCCTTCTTTAGCTTAATTTTTAATTAAACCATATAAATAACTAATATAAGGCAATTTGGTGAATTTTTCATCTTTGAGTGACTTAATTCCATCAAATTTATTTTTAAACACCTTCGTTGAAAAACTCATTTTAATAAGAACAGGCATTTGGACAACACTTAGGTCTTTCCCCAAAAGCTTAAAAACAACTAATATATGATATTTGCTAGAGTCCAAAGATACTTAAGTATGCTTAGGAAACTTTTACTGGAAGTCTGGGTCTCAGCTGTCAATTTCTTACTTATATTTATTATATATACACCTATTTACAGCTCCACAAGACTGTTCAAAAGAAACACATCCTATTAACCTACACAGATGTCTCTATTCATTTGTAGGACACAGAGGTGACCATCAGGATACTCTATGTTCAGTGGCTCAGGAAGCAAATGCTGATAAAGACAAAGGTGGGGCTAAGTTTGAATCATCTGTCTACGAAACACAACCCAATGAGCACTCTGAAAAACTGTCATGTGAAATAAAATCATCAAAAGTCCCTGAAAATACAGATGACATCTGTCTACAGATGATGGGCTGTTACGTGGATGGGGTTACTCAGGACCATCTAGAATCTCTAGGGATGAGGCACGCCTTGTAAACATGTCCCCTGTCTCGGCAGACAGAGAGGATGCCTGAGTCACAAAGTCAAGGTGTTTTTCTGAAATGAGATTCTGTCCAGTAGACACAAGCTGACCCCTGGCAAGCCAAGCTGTGCTGTAAGTAAGAGGTGCAGTGTCTACTGAATGCTTCTAACAAACACGCACTCTACTAGCTTCAGCTTCCCAGAGGTAAGGAACTCAGGTAGTGATGCCAGTGGTGCCTGGCTGTGCTGTCTGACAGGACAGCCCTCAGAGAGGATTTGCTGGTACCTCTTACCTTAAAGGACTGCACAAAGGTCCACAGCAAAATGCGTATGGTATAGCCCTGACGCAGGAGCTTTATGAGGCGAGCTGCTCGGAAGAGCTTCAGAAAACTCATATTGAAGCCACTGGTGTTCACCAGCTAGTGGATCAAAAGGAAACATATAATTTGGAACGTTATGATCATTTAGAAAAATCTAAGCACGAGTATTTGTGTATTTATCCCTCATTCCGATAAATGGGACACAGTCTCTGTCTTTGTTAACCCCAATTCCAGCCGATGGGCTGGCCAGTGAGGCCCATCTTGTAAGCCTTCCCATGCCTGCTCTCTATCCCCAGGTAGACGAGTAAAGGATGTACCTGAGAAAGGTAACTTGCACACAAAACCAGCCTCTCTAGTCTTCTACTGAGGGGCCTGAAGTCTGCACTTAGATGCCAAAAAAAGCAGATCTAGGAATCCCTCTAGCACATGTTGGCCTCTAATATTCAAAGAGAGTTCCCATGAGCTCTCCAAATTGTCTTCAGAAGGAACACATTTACGGAAACAAATCAGGTCTATAAACTTTGAGGGCAAAGATACTGTGCCTCCTCTGAGAATCTAGTGGAATTTAGACACACTAGCTCTCTTCTGACACCATCTATTCCACCTACCCTATTAGATGTCTGCTACTCAAGTCATGCAAATCAACAAAGCCTTCCAGGAGAACCAGTGCCACTCCCAAGTTTGCATTCCCTGGCTAAAGCCGAGCAGCGAGGGAGTACATTCCCAACACTTAGGGGGTACCCATGTGCTGTGGCAGGTTAAAAATGGACTGAATGTACAGGGGAGTCTTTTAAATGCTACTCCAGGACCAAGCTTAGAGACACGGATCGTATAAGCCATTCACCTTGCTGTCTGTCAGGATAATTTCTGTGATACTGCCAATCACGGTGATGAAGTCGAAGATATTCCAGGTGTCTCGGAAATAGTTCTGCCGAATCGAGTTCAGTCACAGGAACATCAGAAAGAGGAAAGGAGACAGAGGGACAAATGACATCTTTCATTATATAACTTTGTCAGTCACTTGGAAATAAAACTTGTCAATTCATGCATGAATTCACTCTTCCTCTGGCTTCAGTTTCCCATTTCTAACCAGAGATGCCATTTCTCCTTTACTAATCTGGGAATTTCTCATTTGGAAAGCAGTTCCATCACTATTTGAAGACTTTATTTTTGAAACTGTCACCAAAAGCTCATATGTAAAAAAAAAAAAAAAAAAAAAAAAAAAAAGAGGGTTTTTTCAATTTTAATTTTTAACAAATATTTATGTATTTAATAAAAAAACCTCTTTATGGAGGCACGCTTGACAAAAAGCTATCCATATTTAATGTATATATCTTGAGTTTGGGATACATTTGCACCTGTGAAACCACTGCCATGGTCATACAGCTATAACTTTTAAATTATTTATATTGTATCAAGTGCCCTATAAAATACAGCGTGACTTACAACTATCCACAGAGGTGACCCAAGTCATAAGTGACTAAAGGTTACAGATGTGCTGAAAATCTCCTTCTAACTCCATTGAGCCTTTTCAAACCAACTACTGATTGGTAATAGGATGAACAGACTTCATCTTTCCCCCCTTTCTCTGCTGTTACACCTTCTGAGGAGATGTAGCTAAATACAAGGAAGCAGTAATAAAATGAGTGGGCTGAAGGTGACATAAAGAGCCTGGAAAATCCATCAATCAGATAACACTCCATTTCACAGAAGAGGAAGACTATGCATCCATCTCCTAGGCTCAGGTGAATACAGACCTTAGACTATTCTCCTTTAAAAACAAACATACAAACAAACAGGACATGCACATCTCAAAAAAATTCACTTGCTTGCCCCTGGGACATTTAAGGGCAGTCTGTAACACGGGAAACAGAGATTAAAATCAACAGACTGCAGAAATCCAGAGAAGACAAAAAAAGTACAAGGAGGAAAAAATTTCAAACATCTGTAATTGAGATCTTCAGCAAGACCACAGGACAATGGATTATTTTATTCTATCCTTGGAATAAAAAACAAGAGACTCTCAAAGCAGTGCGGAAGTACACCCCTTCCCAGCCTCAAAACTAGCGTTGCTGAATTCCTATGACATGAGCCAGACACTAGACCAGGCCTCTGGCCTTCTTTCAACTCGTTTATTCATCTCCTGGATCCTAGAGGCAGGGAGTGACAAGTACCGCAAGTTTGTAGAGTCCTGAATGGAAGAGTTGGCAAGAGGAGTGAGGGGAAAATATCCAATAAAGAGAGGAAAGGAGTGTGGGGAGAGAGGAGTTACATTTAATGAGCATCCACTGAGAACCTTATGAATGTCTTTAATTGGATACCTGCAACAAAGAAGTGAAGGCCATACAGTGGCTACTGTTATCCTTATGTTATGCATGAGAAAATGAGGCTGAGAAAGGGCTTATTCCAAAGCCACATGTACCTAGGGGGCCTGTGGAGAAACTGAAGCACACAGTTTCATAAACTCACTTTCTGTTAGAATATTGAGTCTATCAGTGGGAGAGCTAAATTAAGTCTCCGAACCCCCCAATCTCAGGGCTCTCCTACTGTCCAACCTGGGGTGAACTTCCTAATTCCTGGTTTTAATTCTTCGCAAATGGTGGTGCATGGATCTAGGTCTCAGAGAACCAGAAGCTCTGGATTCCAGTTAAGGATGCTTTACGATACAGAACAGCATGCCGTGGTCTAGACTACCACACTGTGGTATACGGTACAGAATAGTACAGTGCAATGTGGACTGGTAGATTAGTGTGAGCTTTGAAGTCAGATAGAACAGGGTCTGAATCCTGACTCTACCTCTTACTAACCTTGGCCAAAGTATTCAATCTTTCTGAGCTCCAGCACATCCATAAACAAAAATAAGAACACTTATCTACAATACGTAAAGCATTTGGTTCTTAATAGGCAACCAATGTATGTTACCTCTTTCCCTCTTTTTCTTTTCCTTTCCCTTTTTATTCCCATTCTGCCTTGCAGTTCTATTGCCTTTCATCGTGTAATTTTTTTTTTTTTGAGACAGAGTTTTGCTCTTGTTACCCAGGCTGGAGTGCAATGGCACGATCTGTGCTCACCACAACCTCCGCCTCCTGGGTTCAGGCAATTCTCCCGCCTCAGCCTCCTGAGTAGCTGGGATTACAGGCAGGTGCCACCATGCCCAGCTAATATGTTGTATTTTTAGTAGAGATGGGGTTTCACCATGTTGACCAGGATGGTCTCGATCTCTTGACCTCGTGATCCACCTGCCTCAGCCTCCCGAAGTGCTGGGATTACAGGCTTGAGCCACCGTGCCCAGCTCATTGTGTAATTTTTAAGAATATATACAATTTTTCTGAATTTCAATTTCTTCACTTAAAATAACAACAACAATAATGGCAATTATGACAGTGACATCTGCCTTGGCTATTTCAGAGTCATTGAGAAGGTCTAATGAAATAGTATATATTAGGGATGTCTGAAAGCTTAGAGTACCTTAACAATGTAAAGACTTATCAGAATTAGTGGTGCCTTTTATAGTGTGAAAATGCCTCTAGTCCATGAATGAAAACATGGGCATAGGGTGGGAAGGAGGCAGGCTTCAAGGGCTGAATTCAGTTAAGGCTGTGAGTATATATTCAGCTCTCACAGCCTTAACATAATTAGACATATAATGGGACTTAAGTCACAGACAATGTCACCACCACATACAAGTAATCAACACACATAGAACAACTTTCCCTGTTGTGGTGCTGGCTTCTCCCTCTCTCTCAGCTCCCCCTGTCAGGGCTAGACTGTCTTAAAAAGGCATCTTTGTTGGTGGTAGTTTCTTCTATTTATTTTTTTCCTCAAGTCTCAAAACACTCAAAAGAGAGTCAGGCAAACACAACGCAGCCACCTGCAATTGGTTCCCTTAAACTCTCCGCCCCAAATGATCAAATTAATAGTTTTTCAAAGAACCACTGGGAGGCCAAAAGCAGCCCCTGCAATTGACACTCACAATTATCCAGCTCAGCCCAGAGTCCCTGTTAGAGCCGCTACCAGACAAACACTTCTTCAGATAACGAGCAAAGCTCTCCTTCTTGCAGGGAAAGCTGTATACACATGTAATTAGAAATGGTAGCTCACACCCTAAAAGTGTGAAACAGCTGTCACGTGGGCTTGCATCCCACTAGACTCGCCACCCACACTGAAGCAAGGTCGGGGGAGAGTGGCAGAGGGGATTATCTTGTTTATAGGACACTGAAGCAAAGAGTTAGGTTTTCTTGACACTCTTGAGAACAGATGCAAGAATTTTCCAAACAATTATAATTATTAATAGTAGTTGAGGAGAAGAAAAAAGAGGACTCATGCCAGAAAAATTCATCAGCCCCAAACCCCCTCACACTTAATTCCAGGATCCTTCCCCTTGCACTCCACAAACACGCACACACGCACACACACACTTAAAGGTCATTAGTCTTTATAAGTAATAATTAATGTGGCACACATCTTTGTTTTCTAGCCTATGCACACACAGAGGTAAAGACTGCATCTTAAACACCTTACATATATCTTCCAGATATCCTCATACCTGGGCCTTAAACAGTGCTCAGAAAAATGTTTGTTTAATGGCTGAGTAATTACTTTTCCCATCTTCTCTCTATAATTCTTAGTCAAGTTAAGAAATGCAGTTCTTCCTTACAATGCTGGTCCAAGAATCTCTTACAGTCCCTCTAGGTAAACTGTATTATTTGCTATGTTTGAGGCTAACAGGGATAGGTACTTTCCCTTTTGTGTTATAAAACTCTTACAACTTTTACTGGGAAATAAGCAGTCGAAGTTTATTAGTCCAATCTTTGGCTTGCTCCTTCGTCTACACATAAATTGCAGGTAAAATCCAGTGCTGGCCACCTCTGGACTGCTGACAGAAATTTCACAGGACCAGCGCTGAGGGCTCCATGAGCATGAACCTGGGACGTGCTTTCCTTTGCCCTTTCTCCCAGCTTGCTCACACATCATCTTGTCTCTACAGTAGTTTACTGAGCAGACAAAATGAGCCCACATCTAGATGGGTGATTTCTGGAAGAGCAGTAACCACCTCCCTTTCAACAAAGGCTGAGCAGGCACCCAACAGAAAGAGAAAGCCCGGTGCTGGGAAGGATTCAGCAACGTACCAAAAAGCCAAAAGCAATGACCTTCAGGACGCATTCCAGGGAAAACACCATGGTGAAGGCAATATTCAGGTACTTCAGGGCCAGCTCATAGGTACAAGGAGCAGAGTAATACTGCCAAGAAGAGAAAAGGAGAGAGGAAGAATCACAGCCTTAAGGTAAGAGGGGGAATGCATGTCACCGAGGCTGGCTATCTGTCATTCCTGCCCTGTGGGACACGCTGGTGTGTGGTGCAGGAAGAGAGATGGACTTAGAGGCTGGAGAGAACTACATATTCTATGCAACACAACAAAGAAAACACAGGCCCACGCCCCCACCTTGATGACTTAATAGCAAAATAGCCAGTCTTCCTAGAAATGAGGGTGGGCAGGGAAGAAACTTTTTTTTTGAGATGGAGTCTTGCTCTTGTCACCCAGGCTAGAGTACAGTGGTGTGAACTCAGCTCACTGCAACCTCTGCCTCCCAGGTTCAAGCAATTCTCCTACTTCAGCCTCCCGAGTAGCTGGGATTACAGATACATGCCACCACACTGGGCTAATTTTTGTATTTTTAGTAGAGATGGGGTTTCACCATGTTGGTCAGGCTGGTCTCAAACTCCTGACTTTGTGATCCGCCTGTCTCAGCCTCCCAAAGTGCTGGGATTACAAGCGTGAGCCACCGCGCCTGGCCATAACATTTTCTAGAGTGACTTACTGGAGTTAGTCATTTAGTATTAAAGAGGATGAACCTCTCCGAATACTGCAAGGCTCCTTTAGACCCCATGATGATGATCTCTGTCTCCTGATTTTTCCACCCTTGTCTGAAGTTGCCTCCCATTCCCATCTCAGGTCTCGCAAGCACCTGGATGGCTACTACAGGCTTCCCTGCATTTTGCCCAGTGGACTCCCAATTCCCCAGAGATTGGGCTGTTGAACAAAATAAAGTCACGAAAGGATTCCATGATGGAAAAGTAGGTAAAGCAGTGACAAGCTGGGATGTCGGGGTGTCTTCCCAGTTGCGCTAGGAGGGAAATGCTGCCAGGGCTCAGCCGGCTCTCGTGCCTCTCTCCTCTCACCTTCATCATCAGCACGACAGTGTTCAAAGCGATCATGGCCATAATGGTGTACTCGAAGGACGGAGACACCACAAAGTGCCACACGCGGTACTGGAAGGTGTGCCTGTTCTGCGGCATGTAGCGGGTGAGAGGTTTGGCACTGATGGCGAAGTCGATGCACGCCCTCTGCAAGAAAGTCACGGTTATTCGTGCAAGTTCAAATCCCTTAGACTTCGCACTGCGGCAGGCTGTGTTCCATGCTCAGAAGTAAGGGACGGTGAATGAGAAAAAGGGCAGGGCTGGGCAAGTAAAGATGGGAACTCGGGTCACCTGGGCAAAACTATAGACATGGCGTCGCCTTAAAGAAGTACACAGAACTGGAGGTGTTTCATATGGAGTAAAGACTTCACAGTTATGGTCCTTTACACAGCATGCGGCTGAGCTATTTCGGCAGGAAGCCTTCCTTGACGCACTAGGTCAGAAGTAAAGATCTACCTACCTATGTATTTCTATAGCACTTTATGTCATAGTTCTCTTACAGTCCCTAACAGTTTCTAGTTCGGTTCCATCATTAAAAAAAAAAAAATTAAAAAGCTCTGAAACTGTGTGCCAGACCTATGCTTGTTGCTAGAAAAGTTGTGATAAGACACATTCCCTGCCCTTACAATGAATACATACCAAGGAAGGTCACAGTCAGATAAGCAGGTATTTGATGTTATTATTGGGGCACACTTCTCTGTTTTCTAGACTGTGCACACACAAAGGTAAAGACTGCCTCTTAAACATCTTACATATCTTCCAGATATCCTCATACCTGGGCCTTAAACAGTGCTTGGAAAAATGTTTATTTAATGGCTGAATAATTACTTTTCCCATCTTCTCTCTATAATTCTTAAGAAAATGCAGTCCTCCTTCCTTACATTGCTGGTCCAGGAATCCTTCCTGGGGCCCCTGCAGCCCCCCCACTTTAGACCAATTGTTACCTCGTTCTTCTCCAGGCTGCACTCCTCCATCATCTTATCCCCTTGCTCCTGGAAGGTGATGATGATGAGAGCCACAAAGATATTGACAAAGAAGAAAGGGAAGACCACAAAGTAGACCACATAAAAGATGGACATCTCCATGCGGTTGCTGCGGCTCGGGCCTCGGTCTTCCTCCGTCACATCTACGGAGTGCTGCAGAACTCTGTGGGGACAGAATGAGGGGGCACAGATGGTGGATGACGGTCTTGGCTTTGTTAGGAAACGTGCCACCTATGATAATTTTTCATCTGACTTCTTTGACTCTGCAGATCCTCCGTTAACTGTTTGAGTCCAAACCCAAGTTGTCATATCCTGCTGTCAACAATCTGCTTCTCCTTCTAGCCCGTTCCATCACGCACTCAACTCCTAAGCAACAGAGGGACATCATTTTATAGTTTGGGTTGTCATGTTCAATACAAAGAGACTCCTAGATTTCCATTTAGCATTTTGCTGTCGACTAGAACATGCTGCCACCAGAAAGTGGTGTCTTAACCATTGCTAAGTCTCTGAAAAATTAGCTCTCAGCTGTGGGCAGCATAAGACCTATATTCTGTGGTCTTCGTGATGACAGGAAGTGTCTTTGGGTTTTGCCAACTCATTCTTAACCCTTGGTCCTCAGGCTCTCAAGTGCAGGGACTATCTGGAGGATAAATCTGTCTGTAACAGATCTCAGGGACCCTCCTTATGCATAGAGGGCTGTTCAAAACTCATCTGTTCCACAGAAGTCAGAAGGCTCCACTCAACTCCTCAATTATTGGCTACAACATTAAGAGTTTCAAATATTTCCCAGATGTTGTCATCCCCTTCTCCATCTTTGCCTGAAGGATTTTCGGTCTTCCTCTTTTCTGCCTGTCTCACCTTCTCAAAACCCCTTACTTTCCCTGATATAATAACCAAGGGTGAGCCTTGTTCATCTTGAGTCAGCTTCTCAAGGCAACCACGGGGTCCTATCACAGTCACAAATGAGTACGCAGTCACTCACTGAGGCCATCCTTCCCCCGTGGAGACGGTGAAGAGGGTCAGCAGGGCCCAGATGATGTTGTCATAGTGGAATTCGTGGCGCTTCCATTCCCGGCCCTTCACCTCCATCTTATTTTTCTCATGATCTACGTAGTTGCCTCTAAAACCAGAGCAGACATGAAAGAGGGCCTTCTCACTGTAGCTCATGGAAGAGTCAGCACCTTCTACAGACCGCAGTAATGTGGGGGCGGGGGGGGGTAATGATCACCATACACGTGTAAGGCAAAAGGAGTTTTATTAAAGGCAGGCATTTTTGCCATGAAACAAAAATGGGATGTGATGCCCAAGAGATATGGGATTAAATCCTAACCTTTTTACTAGTGGCTTTGTAACCTGGAGCAAGTTGCTTAAACATCCTGAGTCTTAGCTTTCACTTGTGTAATATGCAAAGAAAACTCACTTCAATAGCTCGCTATAGGGGTTTAAAATGAAAACCATATGTAAAATGTCATGGTATGAGACATTTTACACTCAGGTGTTCATGTCTCACACAAAAGAGGTGCTCAATAAAAAGTGTATTGATTCCCTGCTTTGTCGTTTTGCTAAAAGAAGAGTGGAGGCGGGTAGGATAGAAAGGGAGGAGGGTGGACCTGTTGGGGGTGGAGTGGGCTCATCAGGACATGCTTCAGCAAAACCAAGCCGGCTGTGCTGGCGGCACTTACATGCACTCCTTCTCTGTGTCCTTGGAACTGTCCGTGCAATAAAAGAACTTTCCCTTGAAGAGCTGGACTGCGATGACAGCAAAGATGAACATGAAGAGCTTGTAGACAATGAGGATGTTGAAGACATTCTTCAAGGAGGTCACCACGCAGTCGAAGACGGCCTGTGGACAGAGCAAAGAGCCCTGCTGCGTGAACCCCGTGACGGTCTCCCCACTTGCCTAGAGCTGAGCTGGCCACACCACCCCACCACCCGGCCCCACTAAGAAGGTGTACCAGGAGAGTGTTCCCTGCTAACAGGTGGGGGATGCTCATGAGATTAAGGGCTGGCTTCTAAGCTGGTTATGACTGCAGGGTCCTCCCACCTGGGATGGGAGCACATGCTCTGAATCTGAACGTAGACCCAAAGCAGTAGAAACCAGATGCTATCAAGCAAGTAATGAGGTCCTCTGTGAGATCCTGGGAAGGGTACTCTGCTTACTGTGAAGCATTAAAGTGTACACCGAAAAGGATCTTTGAGATCATTTAGCCCAATTTAGTCTTTAAATAGCTTGTACTTTATTTGGTGACATTCTTGGAGCTGATTTCTATACTGATGATGTGTTGTTTTCTCCTTACCTTTCTAAAAGGATCAGGTACTGGTAATACACTATCGTCTTTGTTCATGTCACTAATATGCAAGTGTATGCATTTATGATTATATTCAGAACTTCACATAAATGTTTCTAGTGAAGGTGCCGCATTTGGGATGAAGACCAACAGAAGTAATGTGGGAAAGACCCATGTACACCTTCGCTTAGAGACAGGAGGCTGGGCAGGTAGAACCAGGGACTTAGACTGTGGTTAAAAGGCCGCAGACCTCCAGAGACCTCCACTCCAGGCCCTAAGCTTTGAGGAGTTTCATGGGAATTCAACATACCTTGCGGGCCATTTTTAGGTTATTTTCTAGGTGTTAGGTTTAGCTCATAGGACAGGCTAGCCCCACGGTGGTGCCACATTTGTGCAGAGGCTTCTTTGCAGCACTGGGTGAAGCTCTGCTGGTTTCATTAGTTCAACACTGCAGGGAATGCGAGTGACACGCAGCCCTGTGGAGTCATCAGAGCCACCCACGTCTCCCTCAGCTTATGGAGCTGCAGAGCTGAGGAACTAGCCTTCATAATTTAACCGAATTAAGTAAGGTTGCAGGGTGCTTTCTCTAGCCTATTAACTCATCTCATCAAGCCTGTCTGCGCTCTCCCTGAGGCCCACTGAACCCTCCCCTGCAGGAGCACTGACAACACTGATCAGCATCAGGGCCCCAGGAGGCCTGGCCACACTCCATGGGGTGCAAGGCAGAACCCAATGAGTATTTATGGGCAGGTGCCAAACTGGGCCATTGTCAGGCAGGAAGGTGGTAAGAAACAGCTGACACTGTGAGAAGGGCCTCCTCCAGCGGGGAAGGCAGGGTAGCCACGAAGGAGAGCAGTCGGCCAGGCTACTTCCTTGGGAGCATGGGTGTCTCTCTCTGGAGCTCATGCGGTGGGCCAGGGCCCTGGGCTCTGAGGTAGCCACGTTTCAGTCAGATCGGGGCCTCTGAGAAGTGACTTTCTTCTGTTTCATAAACCTAGTTAGTGATTGGGTATGGGGGTTCACAGCTGTAATCCCAGAACTTTGGGAAGCCGAGTAGGGCAGATCACCTGAGGTCGGGAGCTCAAGTTCAGCCTGACCAACATGGAGAAACCCCATCTCGACCAAAAAAAAGAAAGAAAGAAAGAAAAAAAAAAAATTAGCTGGGTGTGGTGACGCATGCTGTAATCCCAGCTACTAGGGAGGCTGAGGCAGGAGAATCACTTGAACTGGGAGGCGGAGGTTGTGGTGAGCCGAGATCCCGCCACTGCACTCCAGCCTGGGCAACAAGAGCAAAACTCCAACTCAAAAACAAACAAAAAAAACCCTAGTTAGTTTTGCCCCCTTTCTGCAGAGTCAGATGGCTGAAAGGGGAAGCAATGCTATGAGGCCTGAAGGGGGTTGGGAGTGGGGGTGGGCAGAGTATCTGAGGTGATGAGAATCCAATAGGAAGTGGGAACTGGGAATCAAGGGAGAGTCAAGTGCACAAGAGCCCTCCCCCAGCTGTGTCCTCTGTGGCAGGCCTGGGAGAGCAGCCCCAGCATTCCAGAGGAACTGCTGCGTTTTCTAACAGGGACCACTCATGTCAGTTCATTTTATCCACACCACAGATGTGTGAGTTACAAAGTGTCCCCATTTCCCGTGTGAAAGAAAGTCAAAAAATAAGTAATTTGCCCTGAGTCATATAGTTCCTAAGTCCCAGAGCTGAGCCTGGCACTTAAGTGGGTTCCTTTTAATGGTGACAGGGGTTCTCAAACTACACTTATATGCTAAGAGTCACCTGGGTAGCCGGGTTAGAAGGCACATTCCAAGCCTCTCGTACAGGGAGTCTGGCTCTGTTGTGTTTCGGTGGCCAGCAAACTGGATTTTAAGAAGTACCAGGTGATCCTGAGGCAGGTGGCCTATGGCGCACACCTTGAGCAGGCCTGCATGATTCCATGTGATGTGCAGTTACAGAACTGAGTCTGCTTGCTGGGAAGAATTCGGGTGTAGCCCCTGAAGATGGGGCTTCGCTGGTTGTGTGGCCTAAGCAGCAGAAAGACTCTGTGGCCGGAAACCAGGAGCTCTGGTCCTCTCCCTGGCGGTGGCTCGCTTTCATTCACAGGAATTGAGGGAAAAAGAACTTTTCTCCCATGGAGCCTCAGTTTCCATTAACAGCAAGGTATGTGGGGTAGGGGAGGCAGGTTCAACAGGCGAGCAGACTTGTGTGATAAGGCACAGGAAGCCTTGCTGAGAGGCAGGAAGGTGGGGCCCCAGGGGAGGTGAGCAGGGAGAGTATTAGACAAGGAGAAATCTGGGTAAGACTCCTAGTAAAGGGTCCTGGCAAAAGAAATAACTTAATTCATGTCAGCTTACTTCCCCGTTTCTTCTCTGCCTCTGCCAAAAATGGACTGCATGACCTTGGACAAGTTACTGACCTATCTGTGCCTCAAAATTCTGAAAGGAAGGGCTAGAAGAGCCTCTCCTACTCCAGCGTTATGAGAAGAGAAAACGTCCCTGGATACTTGGCCTTAAGTAATATGCGGACCACAACACACATGGGGGACTCCCGTTGCTTCCATTCTGGTGTTCTGGGTCTGCACTGGGGACACAGGAGGCCCCAGGACAAAGCCACACAGGGTTCCCTTTTGGATGACATGTCACACGGGAGAGTAGATACCAGCTAGGTCTGGACTAAAGAGGCAAAGCTTTCTTACAGATTTCTTTGGATGTTGGTAATTTTCCTTTGAAACTAAGAACTTTAGCTCAGGCAGATTCTCACTTCAATATCCATGTGAGATAAAGGAATATTCCCAGAACAAATTCTCCAAAAGCAGGCCAGCCATGGCTAAAGAGAGATGAGCGGAGAAGGGGATTTGATGGGAATGAACTCTGTAAACACTACCTTGAGCTTGGGCAAACGCTTGATGGTTTTCAGTGGCCTTAGAACTCGGAGCACCCGCAGAGACTTGATGGTCTTGATGTCCCGTCCTTTGTTGGTTCTGCGGGGGAACGCCCCCAGGGAATCATATGGAATGAGGGGAGGGAAGAAATAAAAGTGACATTCAAACTATGGCATTAGTAACAACAGGCCAAAAGGGAAGAGATATATGGGAGAGATGTAGGCAAGAAGCCAGAAACTGAGTCAGATTTGACTCCAGGGTCATCCTACAAAAAATGCTTCAGGAATATTCTCAAATCACTTCCCAGTGTGCACACATAAACACACATCCACATGCATAAACACCAACACATGCACACACCCCCTATATATTCAAACACAGAGGAATATACAGGCACACAGAGGCCTCCATGCACATATGTTAATCAACACTTCCTTCCCTAACCACCAGTCTAATGCTGCCGATTACCACATCTGCACAACGAAAATGGAAGATGTGTCAGTGAACTAGGGAACGTGAGCAGCAGCCACCTCAGATCCCCACTGTGCCTAATCCAGTGCTTGCCCAGTGATAGGTTCTCAAGCGATATTTGCTGAATTGAAGAACCCACAGTTGAGAGCAAGTCTCATCAGGGCATGTGACTTAATGTAGGTTTGTCACCACTGCACAGTTCATTAGTGCAGGAGAGAGCAAGCTGAGGCAGGGTGGTGGCAGACCTGACACCCTCGCTGGTCCACGTGTTCCAGAGAAAGCATGTTATGCAGGCTTCTAGCCAGGACCTTGGCTCACACCCCAGCACCTCTGTGCGGCTGGCTCTTCCCGCAGACCCCTCCATTGCAGGCAGTGTGCACATAGCACAGGCTGCAGAGACTCACTCGGCTGGAGGAGGCCCAACTGCAGGTCCAGCTACCTTTATCCCGGCCCTACAGCTAAGGATCCTCCCTACTCAGCCACTTAGAAAGGTTTACTCCTAATAGTGAAGATATGTTTCTCTTGCTACTTTTAGGAATGAAATGAATAGATCAACTTGCATTTCTCTTTCTTACCTGTTCAACCCCTGAAATCTTTGCATTCAATTCAAGTAATTCTCATTTATAAAACACAAAAAGGTGGAAAACAAGACTGCAAACAGTGGAGTCAGCCTCTGTTTCCGTTACACCAACAGTCTGAGGAAATGGGGCCCAGAACATCAGGTGGGAACTGCAAGGGCTTCTGCCTACTTTTCCCCTCAACCTTCCTGCCACACCTACCCCACCCTTGACAGGGAGATGCAAGTCCTTCTATTCTTTCACAGAAAGCAAGATCAAAAGATATTTAATCAAATTGGAGGAATGCTGACTTTGCTCAGAATGTTTATTTTAAGACTCTTAATGATTATAGGCCATGACCTACAAGTTACTTTTATTCAATCCTAGATCTGAAGAGAAATCATCCCAAATCATTGCACTGACGCGGTCTTTAGCATCCAGGGGCTTTGGTGTATTTTACGAATTATTTCACTGGATTAGGCTCATCTGTCTACATATCTAAAAGAGGCAACATAAGCCTAATACATATCCAAACCAATAAGAATGATGGCTTCCCAAGAAGGCTTGGTGACTCCCAATTTTGATCTCTTGGATTTAAATAAGAACTGACCATGTTTTCCCCAATGCATAATACCCTCCCTCCCAAGCATATTTTCTCACTCCTCCAACCCATTCCTTCTATCTTTTACTTCAAAGATAAGTGAACATATTTACCCCAAAGCGTTCCTGTGGAGGATCCAATCAGAGAGCAGTAGAAAATCAAAATAAACAACAAAAAAAATGAAGTTGGGGTAGAGAGAAGACAGTCAGAACACTTCAGGGAGAAAAGAGAACCTTACAATGACAGAAAATCAGAGAAGCACAGGCCCAGGGGACCCCGCCCACAGCCTTGGCACTTAGAGTGTCCACACCTTTGTGAAAGGAAAGGCCAGCACACCATTTGCTCCATGGCCACCGTCCCAACCTGGGGGGGCAAAGGCCCTTTACCAGCACAAGTGACAATGCCACATAGACTTTTGGGTATTGTGCATTATTCCATGGGGCCTAGTTTAACAGTGGGCAGGCGTTTACTTTCATTTCCTATGTAGTCTTCAGACAAAATCTGTTTCTAGAGAATTTATAAGAAACCAGGCTGGAGGAACTATGCCTGCTCTGGGCCAGAAACTCTCACACACTGGCATGGTTACGCTTATGACGGGTTTCCTCTGAAGAGGGACATATTGATGTCTCTCAGAAGCTCAGAGGAGCAACGCCAGGAAACCAACTTGAATAAGGTCGGGGAGGCATTTGTCTGTCAAGATCATGAAGTCACACCAAAGTTTGCCTTTTGATAAATTAAATGACCACCTGTCCATTGTGAGCATACCGTGTAACTTGAAGATGAAAAATCATCCCAGTTCTATGGGTGAGGCACTTAAAATGTCAGGGCATAAATATCTTCAAGATAGAAATAATGACAACTAACTTTTAAATTTTTTGAATTTTTATTCTTTATTTTGGGCCAGGCTCTGTGCTAAGCAATTTTAGTGCAAACCTTTATTTAAACCTCCTAACTTTAGCACACAGAAATCACTATCCCCATTTCACAGAGGAGATTCAGAGAGGTTGAGTGAGAGCCTGACATCAGTTGACAGAGCTGGGACATGAACCCAAGCTCGTGCGATGCTCAGAGCTCTTGTTCTTAACCACTACAGCTCTGTACCAGCAGGCTTTAGTTCAAGGTTCTGTCAAACAGCACACAGAATTTCTGAGCTAGAAGAGATCCCTGAAATCCACTCAGCTGCAAAGGAAACAGGCCGCAGGAGGATGTGCTTACCTAAGACCATTCACTGAGTAAGTTTAGAACCATAGGTCAACCTGCATCTCATGATTCCCTATCCTGGCCTGCTGCTAAGAAGTGCCCATAATTCAGGTTTTGGTTTTTATTTGCAGATTGTGATGAAGATTGCTTTTTCTGTTTTTTGGTTTTTTTGGCCAATGTATCACCAATCTATGTTCCGCTACCATATGTCCAAGCAAAGAGTTCTAACGGTCATTTGACTCAATAAATGATCCCATATTCAAAATTGTTCATTTTCACTATAAATACCAAATAAATGGTGATCTGGGAATTAGGCCCAAGACCTTATAAATCTTAAATCCTTAATGTGATAATCTCCAAATGTTCAGAGGACAGAAATATCTTCCCCAGCATCTTCTCACGTATAAGACGGGGCATGTGGTAGGTCAGCCAAACACACCTTTATTCATTCATATACCAAGCATCTGTGGAGTCCCTAATATATGTCAGGAACTTTTCTGCATACTGGATATACAGTTGTGAACAGATGAGGTGGCCAACCTTTTGAAACTTAGCTAGTCTAGTAGGGAAGACAAACCTCAAGTAAACAAGCACATGAATAAAAGTATAACTGCAAGCTGCCACTGGAAAAATGAAATCATTCAATTAAAAAGTTCACCAAAATAACTACATAGGTTTCCCTTTCCCCAGGTTACATTTGTCTTGAGGAAGAACTAAGGGATAATCTTTCGTATCTCTAAGACGTAGGAATAGGGTAGGAGATCAATGTATGAGCAGGTGGGCTAGGATCACACCCCCCAGGCTTCTGCCTCCTGCTTAGCTCAAGTCCTCATCTCAGAGACCTTTCTATCCTGCAGCATCTGAAAGGTTCTCAGAGGTCATGCTCATAGACACCCATCTTCTGCGCGAGGACGCAATATTTTCTGCTCCTCCCACACACCTGGATAGATATAATTTGCTCTCTTCAATTAATTTCCCCCCAGAATCCTAGTAAAATATCACGGTATAATTCATGTAGGGTATTATGCCACATACACTGCATAATGCATGGCATAATACAAAGTCACCACTGTCCCTTGTTTTGGAAAACAGGGTTTCTTAATGATACACTCTAATCTTAACAGCTGTGTGGCTGCCAAACCACTGGGGGGCTATTTGTCCCATCCTAACTCCCACAGATCTGAGCCAGGGATAGCAATCAGACACAGGGTAAAAGTAAAATAAAAAATTAGTCATTGCTCTACACATCTTTCATCAGGTTTCTTACTGCAGAGGCGCCACTGAAAAGCTATGAATTTGAATAGCTGCAGAAAAACATGCCTTCCTCCTCAGTTTTAACATGGGCAAGCAAGGTTTGTTAACCGATTTAAAAATTGCCATTTGAAATGAAAAGAGTACTGAGTAACAAAGCCCCATAGTCAAGAAAAGCCTCAAAATATAGTCACCATTAATTACAACATAATTTACACATGCCCTAGGCCAAAGTACTGCTCCTAAATCCACACATCCAAGAGTGACTTAAGCCATTATCAAAGCCAACACGATTGCAAGGAAGATGTTTCACCGAACTACGCAGAGGAGCTCTTCAAGTACCTTAACTGAGGCACATTGTTCTGGAAACAATTCACGTGCATTTTACAGATCATTTAAATGTAATCGTTCAATAACACTTTGCTCATCTCTGCTACTAAATTATAAACAGAGGGTTTTTTTTATACTGCCTAATTTCTATCAGGTTCCAAAAACTGACTCTCATGTTAAAATCTGAGGACAATTTCACACGCTAGGATGCACTGGCCCCACTTTAATTGGGAGTCAGTTGGCCACCCATTTTACCATTTATTTTCTATTTATTTGGTAAGTTCCTGGCTGCTCTCCAGGAAAAATAAATGACACATTTTTTCTCCTGTTTCATCAGTAAAAGATGAGAATTTTCTAGCTCAATTGTCAAGTTGCTTTCCAGATCTTTTATGTGTAATCAATCAGCATTCAGTGTAATCTTGCTCTTCACCTTCCAGGTCCCCTCGTCTCAAACGACATGCTCTCAAGTTGATTTCTGCCAGGAACTGACTCTCCTCCCACGGGGGCAGAGCACGGACATCAGGTTCTAAAGAACCCTTTTGCCCTCCCCCATGAGCCAAGGAGGGAACAGCTCAGGGATCTGAAGGCATCTCTTGCCTAAGGAATGGCCAGGCTTGCAGGAGTGAAAGGTAGAAGGAGGGGTCGTGCTGTGAGGAGCCTCCAGTGTCTCACTGTGTCTGGACTATGATTTGGTAGGCAATCATAACTACCATTTATTATACAATTACTAAGCACTTGGCACTATAGCCGACATTAAATACATTTTACCTTATTTAATGCTCATAAGACCAAAATATCATTATTTTGAATCCACATTTACAAATGCAAAAGCAGAGGTTCAAAGTTAAGGCAGCTAATAATTAATACTGCTGGGATTGAGACCTAAATGTGCCTGCCTCTGAAACCTATGCTCTTATTTGAGATGTTACAGTGCCTTTCAAATGGGAACCACTGGAGGGTTTTAGGCAAAGAAGAAAACAGTGAAAGGACTAGTGCTTCCTGAGCTCAAATACTGAGCTCTCATACTCCCTGCAATCAGTTTAGGGTCTATGAGAGTTCCCAGGAAAACAAGCTACAGACGAAACAAGACGGGCAAGTTCAGGGACGACCTCCTCCGTCTGCCCACAGGTCTTGTATGTTCACCAGGTAGAGAAAGAAGGATCTGCAGGCTGAGGAGACATCTATGCCAAGCTACTGCTCTTAGCTTACAGGGGTTAATCGCTTGGAACTAACTAGAACACGATGTGTAGCAGGGAGCTTAGCCTATGGAGACAACACGGAACTTCAAGTCAGAACACCAAGGCTGCTCAAGAACTGGCTTTGCTACTTACTAGTCAAATGAGTCAGACTAGTCAAACCTCAGGCGATCCACTTCTTAGCTCTAAACAGGACTATATAAAATAAAGAGTGTGAAAGCACTATAAAAATTCTAAAGACCTGTGGGGAAGTTTCCCCTTTTGCACTGGCAGTGCCTGTCTCTCTAGGGCCTGCAGATAAGGATATGCCCACCTGCTTCTGCAAAAATATGAAATGGACCTTGTGGTCCATGCCTCAGCATCTCCTGAGGTCACCCTCGGGCCCTCAATCCATTGTTACTTTGCCACCTTTCTTTGCCGTGTGACCGGAGCACTAGCTCTACGCTAACTGTTTGGTGCACAATCCTTTCCCTCTTGCACATGGACCTCAAGGAGCTCCTCAGACATACTCCTGAGGGCCTTTTGCAAGCCTCCTTCTTTGCCATACACAGCACCATACTCCAACTGGTACATGTTTTTGTCCAAACACTGAGAAGCAGCAGGAGACAGCAGAGCATCTGTCTCCTAGCAGTTGTATTACTCAATCTGGTGACCAGGGGCCTTAGTTCTCTCTCTCCTTTTTTATTCTAAACATACCCAAAGATACCTCATCTGCTATCTTTCTAAGAAGGTCTTGGAGCTGGCAGAAGTCCAGCCAATACACCTGTCCCGCTGAAGTCTAATTTGAAATGCTAGGCTGTATCCCCATGTATGTGGATTAGGCAGGTGGCAGGCATGATCTGTGTTGATGGTCCCCAAGTCCATGATGAAGTCTTCTAACCTGAATTACTCTAAAATCTACTTTTAAATCTGGAGGGCACTATGAGGAGTTTCCCCTAATCCAGCAGCTGGGGGCCCCTCCCATGGTTGAGAAGGCTTACAGGGTGCTTTCTGTATCTGGGTCTGGTTGCTTGTTGGTTACCACGTGGATGGGGCCGTGCTCCATGATTGGATCATTTCATTTTATTTCGGTCTGTGGCCACAGGCTGAGATCCCCTTTACAAGCAACCAACTCCCGATTTTGTGCTGTTGATAAAAAATACTCGGGT